ACCCCAATTCTTAAGCTTTGCTTTAAAGATAGATAAAGAAGGAGAGTTTTTTACATCTTCACTAAGACTGTTCCAAAGTTTTATGGTTGAGGGAATAAAACTATTATAGTACGACATTGTTTTACAAACTGGTATACATAAGTTATTACATCCAGACCTTAGGTTGTATGCATGTTGAACAGGAAAACAAGGTTGAATCAAATCATACAAATAATCAGGTGCAGAACCATTAATCATTTTATACATCAATTGAAGTTTGTGTTTTTCTCTTCTAAGATATAATGGTTCCCACCCTAGTTCACCATACAAACAAGTTCTGGATGAATTAACTCTAAGCCCAGTAATGATTCTGGCAGCTTCTATCTGAACTTTTTCAAGCAATTCTGAACAACTTTGGGTACAGTTATCCCATACAACATCAGCATATTCTAAAATTGGTCTTATAAAAGCAAAATAAATTTTTATTAGTGAATTTCTATCTATACTATGTTTCAGTAACCTAATTATATTCAATCTTTTACATGCCTTTTCATATATATTCAATTAATATATGATTATTCCAAGAACCATCTGCTTGAAATTGTAATCCTAAATGAACATGAGTATTTGATTGTTTTATATAATCACCTCCATATCCAAACTGAATATTTCGATAACTTATGTGTTTTCTAGTAAAATCAACATTAACAGTTTTTTCACTATTAAAATCTACAGCCTAAGCTTTGGACCAATTTCTTATCTTTTCAAGATCTTGAGTAAGGGACATTGTTGGAGCATTGATATCATTGTCTATAATAGCAAACAAAGAAGTATCATCAGCAAACAGTCAAATATTACAAGATATATCTTTAGCTATATCATTTATATATAACAAAAACAAGAAGGGACCCAGTACAGACCCCTGGGGTACCCCAGCATCTATTATTTTACATGATGATGAAAAGCCTTCTAAATTCACTCTTTGTTGTCTTTCAGTAAGATAGTCTTCAATCCAACCCAGTATATTACTTCTAAAACCAAAGTTTTTAAGTTTGAAAATCATTCCCTTATGCCATACCTTGTCAAAAGCTTTGGAAATGTCACAAAATATAAAGCGTATATCTCTGCCTCTGTCAAGCTTTGACATGATTTTATCATATATTTCAACTAACTGGTTAACAGTAGAATCTCCAGGTTGGAACCCAGATTGGTATTTACACAATAAGTCAAGTTCCTTAATATGATTAAACATATATTTAAAAAGTATTTTTTCCATTAGTTTACATATAGAACAAGTCAATGATATTGATCTGTAATTATTAGGTTGTTGGGGACAGCCTTTATTTTTAAAAATAGGTGAAATATGTGCTTGTTTCCATATGTATGGAAGAACTTTATTTGTAAGTGATAGGTTAAATAATCTACATAAAGGTTTATATATGGAATAACGGGTTTCCTTTAATATTCTGGGAGGAATTCCATCTGGTCCACATGGTTTAGAGGGATCAAGTATGCTTAACTGATCAAGAACATCTTGATCATTTATTTCAAAATCATAGAAGTAGTCTGGAGGTCCAGCTCCATGTTCAGGCAAATCTGGCTCATTTTCAATATGTGATATATTAGAGAAGAAATTATTCAATTCTTCAGCTTTATCAATTGGATGCACCAATATTCTACCATCTTGTGATTTAATAGAGGATGGGGGAGAGCTTTGCTTCTTTAACCTTGCAACAGATTTTGCTATGCGCCACCACTTTCCTGGTGGAATAGATTTGTCAATGAGTTGAGAAACAAGTTTAATTTTGTATACTCCTTCCTACTTTTCCGTACTAAGTCTATTACTTCGTTACGGACTTGTCTGAATTTTTGCCAGTGTAATGGATTTTTAGTATTCTTTGCCTTTTTATGAATTCTTTTTCTTTGCCTCATTTTCCTACGAATGTCTGTGGTAATATATGGTTTATCTGATGGCCGTATGGTAATTTGCTTTTTTGGTATATGTTTTATCTACTAAGGTTAGGTAAGTGCATGTAAAATTTTGATAGACTTCATTCATATTATTAGAGGTAAACACTTTTTCATCCCAATCAACATTTTGTAAGTCGTTGTTTAGGCCTTGATAATTTGCATTATTATAATTTCTAATTGTGCGTTTAAAGGCATGTTGCTTAGATGTTTGAAATGAAATTTCTATAGAGACAGGTGAATGAGAACTACAAATGGGTTCATCGACTTCAACACTCTTTACTTTGGGTGGATCATTAGTTAACACTAGGTCTATGCAAGTTCCAATATTAGTTGTAAAGTTGGTAGGCTCTAAGACAACATTACTTAAATTAAGTTGTAGAAGTAGGTTTTTAAATGTATTATTCCCAGGGGCTAACATGTTTACATTAAAATCGCCTAACAAAAACAATTTCATCTCTGTATCTAGAGCTCTTTCTACAGTACTTGTAAATTTATCCCAAAAATCAGACACAGAGTTGGGAGGTCTGTAGATGAGTCCAACCAAAAACTTTTGATTTTGTGACTGGATCTCTGCCCATAAAATTTCAATATCAGAAAAATTTAAATCATTTCTAATTTAAAAATTTAATCTCGTTGAAATGTACAATGCAACGCCTCCACCATATCTATTTCTGTCTTTTCTAACTGGTTGATAATAACCATCCAGTGAAAGATTACTATTGTCAATACTCTGATCTAAGTGAGTTTCAGTAATGGCAATTATATCATTTCCTGATAATTCATTTCTAATAATATCAAGTTTTGGAAGTAAACTACATACATTGTTGTGCACAATACTTATATGTTTTTTTTATAATCTGTTGGACCTGGGTTTGTTTCCACACATCCACATATTAGTAATATTGTAATCACAATGATATTAAAGTGATTATTTGAGATATTAAAGATTTTGAAATGGTAAACAGGATATTGTTCACATTTTTGGTATTTGTTGCTAATCAATGAAAAAACATTTGAACTGACATCTCTAGCTACATGTAACTGGAGGATAATAATAAAATGATATATAGTGTGCAAGTAATAGGCTGGAACAAAAATAAATGAAGAAAAATAAAACAAAACTAAATGGAATTCAAAAGAATAAACAAAAAATATATGCAAATGAAAAACAAACTTTGTAGAACAAAAAGTGTTAACATATGTACACACACTGCATTTATTGGAGTCTGAAACAGTTGTAGTAGGAATACCACATATAGATGCTTGTGATGCAAGAGTTTATTGTTGAAGTACTGTAAAATTTCACAGGTTTTAAACCCAAGCAAACAATTTCCAAGAAAGTGAAATTGCTGAATGTGTCCATAGAACAAATTCGAGCAACAATAAGATACACACAAAAATGCGTTGAGGTTTGGAGAGAGAGAGAGAGAGAGAGAGCGAGCGTAAAATTTAACTTTACATGGTGTCTATCGATAGTCAGCTTTTTTTTCATAAAATCATTTTTGATAAAAAAAAAAATTACATAAATATACTTTCGCATAAGTATTTTATCAAATGTAGTCGAAAGTATACATTGCCAAAGACACGCATACAAAGAGGAAACAACTGAACAATATAAAACAAACTTATGGAAATATACGTAAGGATGTAGGCTAAATAAATAATGGATTTCTGGCTATAATTCATGAAACCAATTTAATGAAAATGATTTAGTTAAAATACAATGGTCAACCTGTTTTGACAGAAGGGAATTTACATGTATATAGACTTGAATAATAGAAGGATTAGTAAGCCATCATTTAATTTGATAAGGTTTAATAATTAAGTTCTTTGGCACAGTATTGGATGTGGTTTTAACACGTCAATGTGGTTGCTTGTTATATAAAGAACACATTCTTTCGTGAAATAGGAAATTTCGGTATTTTTAAAAGTGTAACCCTTCATAAATAAAAATATTTTGACCTAAAAATTGACACCAGTGTATAAACATTTTGTTCTATTGTCAATCTGAGACCACAAACCTCTCCAATTATGTGAAACAGTTTGTCCATGTATTGACAACTTGAGGAGGAACATATAGACTATGTACAGATTTCCCCTTTCTTGTTTAATTAATTCATTTGATGTTTACATCAATTCATTTGATGCGTGTATCATTGTCAGTCGATAAGAATTGATTTGATGCTTGAGCAATAAGTAAATTGAATCGATGTGATATCTTCAATCTTTCTGCTGTCACAAAGTGAAAACCACCATGCAATAATTGACCAAGGTCTAATCGTCTATCAACCATTTAAAATGCCTCTCTAACATATTTGGTCTCTTAAAAACAATTAAAAATACAACTTCAAACGTAAAGAACACGTATCTGTGTCCTTTTGTATAATAAATTTCAGAGGTTGCTGATCAGATGAGGGTGAGGGCTAAAATAGACTTTGCCTTCTGCCCACTCCCATGCATTCACTTTAATTTTTGTATAAATAAAATAAAATGTTGATCAGATGTTTCACTTACATTATTGAACTATTCTTTTTTCATTTGATTGGTTGAAATACATTCATAAAAAGACATTTTTTTTACTCATGCCGTTCATATAACCTATTCTACATCTTTAGAGAAGTGGACAGGCTTTCGCCTACATCCATTTCTCCTCGCAAGCCTTCATGCATGTTGTGATTCTGTAGGCGAAAGTCTGTCCACCTCTCTAAAGAGATTATCATATATGACTAAATATACTGCGAATTTACTTCAATTTAGACGTTGAGGTCTATATTAAAAATAATTTAAAAGAAAACTTTAAAATTGATAAAAACCTTTTTGGGGGAGGGGGGGTCGCTTCTGGCCCTCCAAAGGGCATTGACCTGGACCTGCTGAGGACCAAAGCCGAATCGGCGGGATTTAAAGTGGAGAATCTTTCATATTTATTTGTTTTTCTACAGTTGTATTGAGTCACAAATAACTTTTTTTCAGGGAGGGGGCGGGGCACCTGATTAATCCGGAAACAGATTAGGCCCCTACTTTGGATCTTAGTTTCCTTGATCTCGTCAAGCTCTCGTACAGATCGAGAATTGAGAGACCACAATATTGCTCTTTGTTGTAAATAAACAATATTGATGGTTATCAACTGTACCTTGCCTATTTTGCTTTGGGTAACATTGTCATCCTGGTAATTCTGTTAATTTGTGAATAATTACTACAGATATGAAGGTAAGTGATGAGGAAAATATCACTATATGTATGCAAACTAAGAAGGGGGTGTAACCTCACGTGCAGATTTTAATTTTTTGTGACCTGTTTATGATGATGAAAATTTATATATTTTTTTTCTAATATACCACATTATGATGTTATCATTTACCATATTTCATTTTGTAAATTTTTATCATATGTTTTTACCGTTATATAGATTCAGATGGAGGGTTTTCAAAAGCTTCAAGATGATCTGGAGAAAGTCATTGAAAAAGAAGACTCGAACAGTTCAATCACAACAGACTCGGATGAAAAGATGGAGTTTCGAAATATGCGGGAACGTCTAGTCTACATACTTCACACAAACAAGTTTAACATTATCGTTGTTGCCCTGGTGGTTCTTGATTCCCTCCTGGTGATTGCGGAGCTCCTCCTTGACATGAATATCATTCAAGTTTCTGAGCACAAGGAGGGAAGTGATCTGGCTCCTAAAATCTTGCACTACTCTAGTCTTGCCATACTAAGTGTGTTCATCGTAGAGATTTTTGTCAAAATTTATGCTTATAGATTGAGTTTTTTTAGCCATAAGATGGAGTTGTTTGATGCGTTTGTGGTGGTGGTGTCTTTTGTGCTCGATATTATCTTCCGCAACAAGGAGGGACCTGAAAGTGGCGCTGGACTCTTAGTTGTTCTGCGACTGTGGAGAGTGACTAGGATATTAAATGGCAAGTCTTTAGTGTTACTTCATTAAAGTTGAAACAAATTTAAGTTTTGATACCGTAAAAGTAGTTTTAGCAAGTTGCGTTTTAACCAAAAGTATTTTTAGCAATTTTATGAAACCAAGAAATCTATTGCTATTAAATCTCTATTGGTGAAGGTATTTGGATAATTTCTTGAAATTTTCTTATTCATTTTATTTTATATTTCTTTACAGGCATTGTTGTGTCAGTTAAAAAACAAGCAGAAAAGAAAATTCAGAGAGAGAAACGATTACGCCTGGCATGTGAAAAAGAACTGGCTAAATACAGAGAATACTGTACTACACAGGAACAAGAGATAGAACTGTTAAAAGGCCTGCTTGTCAAACATGGAATAGACCTAAACAGATCACAGACTCAGCGTCCTGTCGTCAGTAAAATTGATGTGATAGCAGACATCAATCAAGTGGATGAGAAAGAGAAAGCCCCACCTCCTCCAGAGACTCTTCCTAAACAGGAGCACTCAGACACGCCCCCTTCAAATTAGATCCTAATTGTGCAAAAAAGATTATTATTGTATTTTTGTGAAATCTGTATACAAATTTTTTCTATGGCATTGTTCTGTCCAGTGTTATCCTATGTGTTAGTAAATGTGTCCAGTATTGAATATATTGGTACAAGCACTCATTATTAAAAAAAAATCACTAGTTTTTCTTAAGTAACATAGGTGCCACAATTAAACAAAATGAATAAGATGATATTTATCTGCTTTACATTTTTTTTATCAGTGCCACATTCAAATTTTTTTGGTATTTTTTGTAAGTTGTGCACAAAGTTCAATGCAGCCTACACCCTCCATTTATTTTGTATTTTGAAACAATCTATCCACCCTGTGAAAGCTTGATATATTTGAGCTATCCCCAATCATGTATCCTTTTATTGTTTCTCGAACATTGACAAAGTGCAATAGATATTGATGGTTGTTAATTCATTAAATGTTATCATTTAAAGTATCCAGTTTGGCATAACATCCCCTTCAAGGGAAAATGTCAAGCAAACATTTATTGGTCAAACTTTATTGCAGAATACTAATCAATAATAGTTTGTGGTATATAGAAGGTTTTATTTCAGTACATAATGATAATTAATGTGCTTATTGGAATTTATCATAAGGTCAAGGCGAGTATGGAAATGTATCGCATGCTACTGCAAACATTCCACATTTACTGTTAATGGTGCATCTCATTTACCATGTACAGATGTACATATCCCTGTCCCTGCTAATCACATAAACATGCATGTTGTCCTTTTATATTGCAATACATTGCCTCTTTCATGATTCCATTTGCTGCTTCAATTGTGACTCCCCCTTCAGTTGCCACAGATAAAACTGATCTTTTAATATCTTAGTAGATTCTCATTATCCTTGAATTCTCTTTTGAAGCTTCAAAATGTTGATTAATATTAAGTTTATATGTTGATGAGATTAAAGAATGCTTTCATTTTAAATATGTTTTTGCAAGAATAAAAATGTGCTCATGAAACAAATAAAATAGGCAAGTTTATTTTTTATTTAACTAGTGCCTTTGTGAATCTTAGTTTTAACTAAAGTCTGCAGTGCATATTTTTGAATTGTTTATCACAAGAGTCCTATTTATTTTGTGTTGTGTTTTGATGTTAACAGCTTCTAGATCTGTGATGTACACTTAGTGTAACTGTTGTTGGGATATACATGTACATTTTGTGTTTGTAATTAATTTGAAGCCTGCCATATTTAGTTTACTTCTTTTATTTAGATTTGCTGTTGTCAGATAATCAGTTTAAACAGCTATATTTTATTTAGTCATAGTTTTTGTCTGACTCCCCCCCCCCCCCCTCAGCATAAATATATATTGGACCACTCTTCCTGCTATGATGTCCTTTTCTGATATCCATTGTATCTGCCCACATTTCCAACAGAAAGTCCTTGATTATTATTAATTTTTTTTAATGTACATGTACTTAATGTCACATTATGTGTGACTCACTTGTATGTTGAAATACTACATCTTCGCTAGCAAAGGGTTTCCGATCCGAAATCGTTGTAGAGTAGATTTCGGATCAGAAACCTTTGGCTAGCGAAGATTAAATACTATAGAATCATGGTTCTTCCACCACTGTTTATGAAACTTCCTTTAAAATAAATTATTTTCTAGCAATTTCATTCAAAAATCAAAGTGATAAGACTTGTTTTTTTATGCTAACTATTAAAAGAATCTTAATATTTCTAAATATGTATCAACTAAAAACATTTGGAATCGTACTTCATCTATGTTCTAGATCCTGCCAGCCATTTATTAAATATTTTGAGCCTTTCTTTTGATATGGACGACCTTTGGCCTACTTATTTGAAAATGATCAAGGTTAGTGTAGGAATATCCACATTTCCTATGTTGGTAAATGCTTGTTTTGAAGTAAAACCTCTCCTCAGTACTCATCTGATAATATATGGTATAGATTGAAATGTTTACTTACTTTCTTTTTTAAACAATATGCACCACCTCTTTGATGGGGGCATGGAATTATTTCTCGGTTACCTCAATTTTCAATTGCATTTAATAACAAAGTACTTTTTATGAAACTGAGATTGATATATCTTTTGTATTGTAATTTTATTTAGAGAAAATGCATATTTACAGCAAGTTTTGTATTAAATTGTGCCCTTTTTTTGACAGAGATATGTTCATGAGATATACATGTTAAATGTCAATTTTTGTGTTACAATAATTATATATAGAAGTTTTGAAAGCAAAAAACAAATAAATATATACACATAAAAAAGTGGGTTTTTTATTACAGCTTCTATTTGCTTCATTTTAATAACCAACTGCACTAAAATAATCAAATTAATTCAGATCATTAGATAAATCACTAATATTATGTTAACAAAATTGACAAGCACTAAAATGAGTTTTGAAAATCATACCAGAACAAAATATTATAATAGAATTTAATGAAATATTCATATTTCTTATTATAGTTGAACTTTGATGTCTTAAACACTGATATCTCAAATACCATGGATATGTTGAGAATTGGAGGTCTCAAGCACTTATTCTTTTTAAATATTTTACCCCAGTAATCCACATACATGTATATCTTGAATATACAGGACTTGTGGAACAAGAGGACCACTGGAAAAACCTACTTTAACTGATGAGTCATCACATCTTGTCTCCTTTATAAATATGTAGAGCCCCAAAGTAGCCTTGCATACTCCATATTAAAAGGAGAGATTTGAAGAAAACTGAAATGATAAAAGGTTACTTTCCTATATTGGTGATGTTTTATCCTTGTTTTAGAGAATAAAATAGGAGCTGTGAACTATCTCACAAAAATATACTACAGATACCTGTACTGGTCCATCATTAAAACCTTTAAATTATGGATTAAAAAAAAAGTTTCCTGGAGGTCAAAAAGAAAGTCAGACATTAGAAAGCAATAACTTTTTTTAAATAGCCCTGCTGCAATTTTGTGAAATGAAACCATGTATAATTATCTTAATGTGACCTTGAACTTGCTAGAAAGGCCTTGGTTTAAAAAAATCTTTGGTCTTCAGTAATATTTTAATGAATTACCGACATCTAATTTTCTCTGAAATTACTGACATTTTTAAAAAACTTTCCTACCCCTAAACTTGCCAGTATAACCTTGACCTTGAGTCAAGTTATGACATACCTTCCTCTTTAAGTAATATTTGTTAAAGTGTCAAAGTACAATACTTGTCAAGGAGAAAGTTACAAACTGGATACCATTTTTTCTCTGTCCATGATACTGAACTTGTAAAAAATCCTTTTGTTCAATGCCAGGACACACCTTTAGGACATAAATAATATAAGTATGTGAAGTATAAACTTCCAGTGTTTTCCCACACTCTGTAAATCTGGAAATTTTTGCTGTCGATAAATTTTTAGCAAATTGGCGAGTTCAATGCTCTCGCAAAAATATTTTTCTTAAAAATAATTCAACAATAAGAAAATATAAACAAAGTAGTGATCATTCACAAAATTTTGAAACGTAAAAATTAATCAACAGCATTTTGACCCAGATTCGCAAAATAAAATTGACGTAAAAATTTCCAGATTTACGGTATATCAAAATGATACTTTTTAAGTGCCAAAATTTCTCAAATTATGATTATTTTTGTCAAGTATCAACTTTATTTAAACAATAAAATGCTTTGTTTGTTTGTTGTTACTGGAATGAACGGAAGCAGCTGTTGCAGAAAAAATACATATGCGGGTTATGTAAATTTTTTCTGCAATAGCTGCGACCGTTCATTCCAGTAACAACAAACAAACAAAGCATTTTATTGTTTATATTTATATCTGTTTAAATAATCAATTAAAGTAGGATTAAAAAGATTAATTATTGTATTAATGATGCGAACCTCTTTATACGTTTCATTGATGTGTAGCCAAGTGACAAGACTCTTATAAGGTTCACCACTTTATTGTAACGTGTAAAACCAAAAGGCAGCAGTGATATCTGCAAAGAACAAAGTACAATAATAAACAACAGTTATAAAGTATGTACAAAGTGTATATACTGAATGATGGTTGATGATGTAATCTTTAATAAACCTAGTAGTTTATCTACATAACCTGAGCGTGCACAACTCTTGATCAAACTACGTAACGCCTAAGTCATATAAAAGCATATATAGTGAGACCTACACTAAATATAAGACATGGTACTATTATGTACTCACGATAAAGTGTAAACACTAATATGATTAAACTGGTCAACTTAATATGACACAGATACTGACTTCTATAATATACAACTGTCTCAATACCTAGCTTGACTCTTATTAAAGAATAGTATACATAGCCGTTACCAAATAACAGACTTCTACATGTATTCAGTCAAGAAAAGTAATAGACTTAACCATCAACATCTATACCATCAAACTGATATATAAAACATCAGGGTCACAAGTCAAAGTTTACAAAGACAAGTTATTCCCTTATTATTATGAACAACAATGACATTATAATGTATAGAAATCATTGAACACTTGCTACATCATGAAATCTTATTCATACAATCTATTCTTCATGTTCAATTTACCTTGAATCACTATTAAATGCATACAAATCAAAACAACTTATCGGTAAACAAACAAACAGGAAACACATATCGCCTACTAAAAGTAAAACCTAGACCTAGTTCCGAACTGAGGAATCCGTAATTCCGGAATACTACATACAAATTCCTCAAAGTTACGTTTATTACATTAAAACTAGAAATAAAGTTGCAACAACCTCGTTATTATGCATAACTATGATCAAGAAACATATGACATTATTAATTACTCAATAATTCTATCAATTCTATCGATAAGCATGATCTCCTAAACTGGCGCACATGTAGCGTCTGGCGGGAAATAAGTTCACCGAATACACAACTCATGTACAAATCATGAAATTCTAAGACATGCATACTTATAATGATTTACATAAATGCACACTAGGTAAAAAGTAGCAAAAATACACAATACACACCTGTTTAACTTTAGTACTTCAAAAATACAAAATGCTATGCTAAGGCCGACGTTCACTCAGACATGTGGTTCTGGCTGCAGCGTGACGAGTAATGACGTCAGCCTCGGCTCCAACAAATACTAAAACTAACGTTCTGATAAAATTGGAAAATATATAATTTGCACTTGTCTACATTCTCCCCTGCTATAGAAGTAACGTCCCTTGTTACACACAAGAAAAATGAATTTACATACAACTTCAAATTTCAGAAAACTTGACTAGCATAAAAATCTAGTTTGAAATACAAGAGGTATTGTAATCAAAACATATTCACAAGATCATAACTATACCTGACACATATACAAAGTCTCTAACGAGATACAGAGCTTTTTGGTAAGTGATGGACATTACTGTGCTTCCCTGCTGTAATTCGAGTACTACGGCGAAGTCTTACAGGTGAAGATATGGACGCATCTCTTACAGGTGAAGATACCAACGTACCAGAATCATCCAACATAAGATATTCATCGTCTGATGAGCTTTCACTAGATCCATCACTATCGACACAATCACGCACCACAGTTGTAGTGTTCTTTCCGTCAGAATGGTCTCTGTTCACTTGTGTCACAGTATCTGCTTTCGCTTTAATTCTAAGGTGTACTCGATTCACAATCCGTCTGTCGTCAGGAGCGTCTTTACGGTATACTTCATAGACATGCTTTTCAGGGTCGATACGCCTTAACACAACATACTCATGTTCGCTCCACGCATCCTGAATTTTATTCCTGCCGGTCACACGATTACGAAGTAAGACTACGGTTCCTGGTTCGAGTCCATCTATATCTCTGACTATCTTCACCATTTTCTCTCTAGCCTGTGCTGCTCTCTCCAGTTGCTCCCCTGCTTTTCTGTATGCCTCCTTTAGACGTTCAACATGTTGCTCGACAAAGTCAGTGACTGGGACGAGAGACTCATCTTCCTCTAGGTTAAGTATGGTATCTATAGGTAACTTTGGGTGTCTTCCCATCATCAGGTAGAATGGACTAAATCCAGTTGATGCATGAATGGTGGAATTGTACCAGAAGAGAAGCTCCGGAAGGTGATCAGGCCATCTCCGTTTCTGCTTTGGGGTGAGCGTTCTTAACAAATCATGCAAGGTCCTATTAAAGCGCTCACATTGACCATTCCCCTCTGGGTGGTATGCGGTTGTGCGACTCTTCTTTATCTGGTATATCTTGCACAGCTCTGCGATAATCTGTCCCTCAAAGTTTCTACCTTGGTCAGAATGTAAGCGTTGGGGTATCCCGTATCTCATAAACCATTCTCTGACTAGAACTTTCGCCGTTGTGCTGGCAGTTTGATCTCTGGTGGGTACTGCCACAGTAAACTTAGAAAATACGTCCGTCATAACCAAGACATTTTCACGGCCGTCAGATGCTTTCTCCAGAATAGTAAAGTCCATAGCCACAATCTGGTTGGGCTCACTATCTAACAGGTGGTCCATGGGAAGGCTGACCTTAGGTTGTGGTAGCTTTGAAATACAGCAACGTTCACAGGTCTTACAGAATTTCGTGATGTCACTGTACATACCAGTCCAGTAGAATCTAGCACGAATCAGTCCTATTGTCCTTTCGATCCCTTGATGGCCTGCTTGGGTATGTAGGGCATCCATCACTTGTTCTCGGAGACAAGTCGGAAGTACAAGTTGCTTCAACTCTCCAGCCTGCGGATCTTTGACTATACGGTACAGGACTTGATTCTTATCTAAAATCATCCGATCTCTTTGACGGAGCATCTGTATAACTAGCTTGCTTTCGGCTGAGCGTTCCTTCTTGTTTGGGTGCCTACCACTAGTGAAGTAATGTAGGAATCTTCCCAGGATTGGATCATTCTGTTGCATGTGTGACACGTCACTTCCGTCGTACTTCGGGAACGAAATGGAATTGTAACAAGTGGCATCTGAGTATCCTTTTTCTTGGATGCTGGAGATTGTCGACTTAAACGCTTCCATACGAAGGTCATCCTCGATCTTGGTGTCTACCTGTCTAACTTCTGCTAAATGACGACTGCATGTCGGCATTCGTGAGAGAGCATCAGCTGCTGTGTTCTGCTTTCCTGGCCTGTACTTTACTGTGAAATCGAACTGTGCCAGCTGTGAAACCCATCGCTGTTCGGTTGCACCAAGTTTACCACTTGTTTGGATATAGCTGAGTGGGTTATTGTCCGTGATAATTTCAAATTTGGATCCAAGTAAGTAGTCCTTAAATTTTTCTGTTACGGCCCACTTAACTGCTAGCAGCTCTAATTTCGCCGAACTGTAGTTAGCATCATTTTTCTCTGACTTCCGTAAGGTACGACTCGCATACGCAATTACTCTCTTTCCTCCCTCCTGGTTTTGCATCAACACTGCCCCCAGTCCAAGTAGGCTAGCGTCCGTCTCTAACACAAAAGGTCTGGTAAAATCTGCATAACCAAGAATACTGCTGGAGGTCAATCGACTCTTTAGTTCCAGAAAAGCATCTTCGGACTTCGAGTTCCATATAGTCTGTAACTTTTCATTGGCCTTGCTCCCCTTAGACTCCTTATTCGCAACTGCAATAAGTTCATAGAGTGGTTTTGCAACCTGAGCAAAATGTTGCACAAAACGCCTATAATAGCTGGCAAAGCCTAGAAAAGAACGAAGATCTTTCACTGTTTTAGGTCTTGGCCAATCCTTCACTACCCTTATCTTCTCCGATGAAGTGGAAATCCCCTTTGCTGATACAACGTATCCAAGATAACTTATCTCCTCTTGAAAAAAGTGACATTTCTTGGGACTTAACTTCAACCCGTGTTCAGCCAATCTTGAAAACACAACATCCAATCGCTGTAAGTGTTCATCAAGTGTCTTTGAGTAGACAATTATGTCATCCAAGTAAACCAGCAATATTTGGAACACGGCATCATTAAATATGTGCTGCATTAGCCGTTGGAAAGATGCCGGCGAATTACAGAGTCCAAACGGCATTCTGGTGTACTCGTACAAGCCGAAAGGGGTAGTAAATGCGGTCTTGTGTTGATGACTTGGGTCCATAGCTATTTGGTGGAATCCACTGGCTAAGTCGCACGTGCTGAACAAGGTAGACCCATGTAAGGCATCCAGGGACTCGTCGATGCGAGGAAGTGGGAAAGCATCACGAACAGTCTTCAAGTTGAGTCTACGGTAATCAACGCATAGTCGGATCGAGCCATCTTTTTTCCTCACAATGACGACAGGCGATGCATATGGACTTGAGCTCTTACGAATAACTCCTTTATCCAGCAGGTCCTGGATGTGTTTCTTAACCTCCTGGTATTGGTTAGGCGGGATGCGACGGTAAGGAAATGTAACTGGTGTATCATCAGTAGTGTCAATTCTATGGGTAACTGTAGTAGAATAACCCAAGTCCAAGTCATTTTGGATGAACACACTTGAATGTTTCCTGAACAGATCCAATATTTTCTGGTACTGGTCCGCTGAATAACCAAGGTTCTTAGGAATAAGTGATTCCACATCGAAGTTAGATGATAGCTCCTCCTCTTCTATGTCGTCTTTTAGTACTACTGTCTTCTCCTTAGGAGCTGTATCTAGGAATGTAACTTTAGAGTCTTGTTGAGGCTCGATCACACACTCACTTACTACTCCAAGCCTACTGTTTGCTTTAATCCAGATGTCCTTGTCACCCAAGTTAGCAACTTGAACAGGATATACACTAGATTTTGATGCTGACGAAACACTGTTAATAAGAATGGCATCTTGTCTGATTGTCAAAGGTTCAATGCACACACTTTTTCCTTGTACACCACAGATGTCCTGAAGAGGTCCAACGACTCTAACCACAGAAATAGAGTTCGCAGGTATACACACATCTTCTCTACCAGCTACTCTAGCGAATCCTTTCACTTCTGAATGATTGCTTTTCTTGAAAGCCTTTATCCAGTTCTGGGTTGCACCTCTGTTCTCCGAACGGCGAGTGAACGATGGACCAAACTCTTGTAGGAACAACTCTCGACACTCCCTTATCACATTCATACCAAGTAATCCAGGGATTTCCTTCCTGTCCTGAGTGTCCTTCACAATCAGTATACCAATCCCACACATGGTACGGTTCAAGGGTTTCACAGTAATATCTGTCTCTATGTATCCTACGTATGGAATCTCGATTCTATTTGCCGCTCTTAGAGTAATGAGTTTATCATTCACAACCGGAATGTCATGAAGGTAGCTGTTATAAAATGATTCGGTAATGGTGCTGACCATTGATCCTGTATCCAGAAGACACAAAATTCTCTGACCTCCAATTTCTATGTCTGTGGTCGGACAACTTCCAATCAGTGAGCCATTCTCTAATTCACCTCCTATTGGCCGGCTCTCGACAATAGGCAATCCGTGTTTAAAGTTACAGTCTTTGCCTTTGGACAATTTCTCTTTATGTGTCCTGGTTCGTGACATTGGAAACACTTCCTTTCTTTTTTCTGAGTCCAGTCTTTAGTTGCAGTCTTTGTTTTCCATAACTCCTGAACTTCAGATCGTAATGAAGACAATTCATCCCTCATTTCTTTCACCATATTCATTATCGCACAGTCACTTGAAGCTGCTTCTGTGTACACAGTGGCCTCTCTCTTGGGTGTATGTTTTGAACTGTCAGTATGTACTTCTTTATCCAAGGAAAGAACAACAGCCTCTTCTCTTAGTTCATTAAAGGTCAGGGACGGCTTTAATCTGAGTGACTTTTTCAGTTCCCGGCAGAGCCATTTGTCGCACACATTCTCTGCAAACTGATTCCTAAGAGTTCTCTCTGGTTCAGAAATGAAGTTGTGATCCACTTGTCCTATTCTGTCCAGCTTCTTCATCAATGTGTGAGAAAATTCTTGCAGGGATTGTCCTTGATTCTGTTTTGTGCTATAAAAGTCTGCAGTCAGCTCTGATGCAGTCGCCTTTTCACCAAAAGTCTCACGCAAGATGTCAAGCACTAGTTGCGGATTCTTCTTACAAGATGGTGCACGATAGCGGATCTCTTCCTTTGCCGGACCTTCTAAATGGCTTATCAAGAAGTCCACTTTTTCTTCCTCAGAAGTTGGGCGGGTCTTAAGCACACGAGAAATGTCGTCAATAAACTCATACACAGTCTGTCCCTCATCTTTCCGTCCTGAAAATTTCTCGACCTTCCTCTGCTTAGGTGTAAACACATACTTCTGTCCAGAATCTTCCTTCTTGATCTTGACCAACTGTGACTTCAGTGCATCTAGTTCCTGTTTCAGCTCTTCCATGGTTGGTCGGGTATAACACACAATCACTACTGCCTCTGGAGTCCTTGGTACACAATCATGAGGTATCCTACCATGAGGTATCCAACCGTCAGGTATCCTACCGGCGACGCCATTTGTAGCCAAGTGACAAGACTCTTATAAGGTTCACCACTTTATTGTAACGTGTAAAACCAAAAGGCAGCAGTGATATCTGCAAAGAACAAAGTACAATAATAAACAACAGTTATAAAGTATGTACAAAGTGTATATACTGAATGATGGTTGATGATGTAATCTTTAATAAACCTAGTAGTTTATCTACATAACCTGAGCGTGCACAACTCTTGATCAAACTACGTAACGCCTAAGTCATATAAAAGCATATATAGTGAGACCTACACTAAATATAAGACATGGTACTATTATGTACTCACGATAAAGTGTAAACACTAATATGATTAAACTGGTCAACTTAATATGACACAGATACTGACTTCTATAATATACAACTGTCTCAATACCTAGCTTGACTCTTATTAAAGAATAGTATACATAGCCGTTACCAAATAACAGACTTCTACATGTATTCAGTCAAGAAAAGTAATAGACTTAACCATCAACATCTATACCATCAAACTGATATATAAAACATCAGGGTCACAAGTCAAAGTTTACAAAGACAAGTTATTCCCTTATTATTATGAACAACAATGACATTATAATGTATAGAAATCATTGAACACTTGCTACATCATGAAATCTTATTCATACAATCTATTCTTCATGTTCAATTTACCTTGAATCACTATTAAATGCATACAAATCAAAACAACTTATCGGTAAACAAACAAACAGGAAACATATATCGCCTACTAAAAGTAAAACCTAGACCTAGTTCCGAACTGAGGAATCCGTAATTCCGGAATACTACATACAAATTCCTCAAAGTTACGTTTATTACATTAAAACTAGAAATAAAGTTGCAACAACCTCGTTATTATGCATAACTATGATCAAGAAACATATGACTGATTAAGAAATCTGTACAGGCGACCTGCCTACTGTAGTTTATGCAGTGATGAACCCAATGGGGTTTCTTAAGAAATAAAGGAGAAAATATTTAGTGGATGTAAATATATTAGAATCAATTAAAGAATATGGATATGAACTGGAAGCATTTTTTTCTGCCTTTGACCTGAAACTTCCTGGACTGACCTTGGGTCAAGGTCAATACTTAACATCAGGTCAATTCAAAATTTGCAATTGGAAGATACAGTTACCATTGAATAGGTTTTTTTTTTTTGGAAGGGGGGGGGGGGTATAATGTTTTGGGAGAGACATCATCACATCTAATGCAATAACTGAGTTCTCAGTATTCCCATCAAAGACTATTAAGGATAAATAACACAAACAAACTTTTTTCAGAAATCAACATTATTTCTCATAGATTTACATTTATATTAACAACCTGAATAATGTTTACCAAGTAGAGTGGGAGAATTATATAAGATTTTGTCATAAAGTTAAAAAATTGTGCAAAATTTTGTATGGAATTATATAGAAGGCAAAACAAAATCTCATATCTAAGCACCAAGGAAAACCCACGATTTCTTTATATTTCAGGGATTTATTAGTTATGTCATTTCAAATCAAAATCAGTCAAAAAATACATATCAACCCGCACATCCATTTTTTGTTTGTGGTAAGTACCCTTAAGGAGATATTTACTGTTTCTCTTTTTCAGTTTGAACACCTCTAGAATAATGAAGGAGAACAGACAAATCATAATTCTATTTATTTTCAATCTTTCAACCTTATAAATATACAAGCATGTTCTACATAGTGTCATTAACTACACTTCTCTTTTAAATATTATGATAAATAAGTCCTTTATTACTAACCATTTAGAGATCTCAGATCAACATATAAGTTTCCACATTTTATATCCATTAGTTTTTCATACATTCATACATTGAAAGGACTAGCTAAGAAAAAATATTACTGTTAGTCTAGAATTCTGCTTTCCCTTGCTTATTCCATTTCTTGTCTATTTCATTTACTGTAACCATGGAGATAGATGGCTGAACAGACACCTAATGACTGGTGTCCAATTAATATCTGTATTATTCAAATCAAATTATTGTATCCATTATAAATATAACTGATTCTACCCTACAAAATACTGAATATCACTGAGGTATGTCGATCTGTGAACACATGAAGGTTTACTAAGAAAATTAGACAATACTAGACCGATTTTTCAGAAAAATTAAATTTAGTATCACAATATCTCCCTCTATCTTTCTTTTTCTTTCTCTCACTCTCTATCTCTCTCTTTAGGATTTTAATTAGAAAATGTAAATGCCTTCACTTATGAAGCACCAATTTTATCACAGAACCTATCACTATCCTGCTTTCATGTTTAAACAAACATCAAGCATTTTGAAAGTAATTTTGTCCAAGAAAATGTAATCAAATATATATAAAGAAAATCAAAAGATAAATACAATGTACATGTTTATATCCTAAGATTTACAACCTAAAGGATAGAGCATTAACAAAATAATAATTTAAAAAGAATAACTGAAAGAAAAAGATTATGCTTCTAATTCTAGATAAATATTTAAATGCAAAGTAGATTATAATCAGCACCTGAAGTAAAGGAGAAACTAGAGAACAGATTTGAAAGTAGCAAATAGAGCATATTGAAAGCTGCCAAACCAATCATATTAAATGATATATACATGTATACACAGGTCATCAACAAACCAAGTAATACAAAGTTCAGCTGATGCTGTTTTCTGAGAGGTTATTTACACAATATCTTATATTAATTTCATTGTACTGAAAAAATATTCCTAAAATGGATAATTCATATTAACAAATGAACTTGGTAATCCATGATTCAAATCCATGTAATATTATCCACATCTGTCTTAAAGCTTCTCAAATATATATACATGTAAGTATATTAAATCGATAATTTACAATGGAAGAATGAGACAAAAGCCTTTCTATAAAACACATTTAAAAATTCCCACAATGTATGTATAACCGGCTGTTCTGTTTATCTCCCTCTAATATCTTTGTTGAGCTTGTTATGATGAACACTGACCGAGTAACTTGCCACTCAAACTATATCCCATTCCAGTTTTTAACACGATCAGTCCCTCATAATTGTTTGGTTCTGAAGGTCGAAATTCCACAGGGAGCATAAGGTACTTCTTACTCCTGTACAAATAAACATGTATACGTATAATATTAACTACATGTATAAAATGTATGTAAACATCAAAGGTGGTGCATTTTAAACACATCATGTTTTTTTTTTAAATTCTCTGGAAATGGCTGCACCCCACCTCTTTCCCCTCTTTTGTCATTTTTGCTTTTATGCCCAGTGGAAATTTAACTGATATGAATACTTAACACTTGCTCTCATAATGCACAAACATTTTTTTTATTGGGTAGATGTTACATGCTGATCACACTTACTTTACTTCGAATCTCATATGCTTCACATAAAATGGTGGCTGTGGGGGTATCACCTCTATCTGTGGAAAAATACACATATGATGATAGAATGACATCATTTTATATGGACACAATTTAAGATGAATGAGGCTTAAATGCATCTCATCATTCCATAAAAAAACTCCTTTTCTTCTGACACTATATTTAAAGTTGACAAAATCAATTGCTATTTGCATGTCAACATTAGAAAATAACTTGAGTACAATTCTCCCACCCAGATAATGCACACTTTCTAGTGATTTTATTACCACAGAAAGTATGAATAGAAGAGAGAACTATTCAGTCCAATATATGTATCTACATGTAGTAGTCTGATGTCAGAACTATTTTAAATATTACTAATAAACCTTACAATATCACAGTTTATCTGATGACTTACTGGTTGGGGGGATGTGGAGTTGTTGGCGATCTGTAACTTGGCCACTTGTGACTGACCCACTAAACAAGGGAGGAAACCTAGCTCCTCATTCTTCAGAATCACAGGCCTATCATCCTTAATCCTGACAATATCAAACAAACATCTCAAAATAACAAATATTGATACACACAATATAAACATCTTATTCACAAATTTTTGCAGGATTTTCTTGGCAACAGTTATTTCCTTGCATTGTTCATGCATATATAATCTAACACTGACTCATTTCTTTAAAGTTCAGATATTTATAAATCTTAACACCAGAAATCATACTTTTTATGAGTTTTGTGTCCGGTTTCCTGGAACCTCTCTGTCATGTCCTCTCTGTATGAAGACAACTGACTCCCCGGCACATCATCATTAGCCATGCTCTGCAAAACAGATAATTTTTACAACTTTCTGAAATACTAAAAGATATAAAACAGATGACGACCGTCCCTGGTCGAAACCGGTCAATCAAATAAATTTACTGCTGCATTCTCACGAAGTGTTTTGGCGATCTGTTTTATATCTTTTAATTCATAACTTTAGTTACAGACCCTATTGAATACCTTTCGGTATCCACACGTGGGAATCTTCCGCAAATTAAACCTCAGGGTGTTGGTCTCCAGTTTTTCATTGTTTTGTAACTTTCTGAAATGTTCTGTTGGGCACTATAATAAATCTACTTTCCAGTTAAATATTAAAAGTTAAACAAGAAATCTTTTACGTTACCTCCCCTGTGAGTTGCAATCGGACTGGTTTATCCTTTGCACTTTGTACATCCCAGTGTTGTGTGAATGTTCCTTTGGATCTTGGCATAAACTCAACATTTACCTACATTAATCAAAATAATTCTCCCATCAATTTCTGATACATACAATTCTGGTCACAGGAATGTTAAAGAACATTAATGGAAAATACAATAAACTGCTTCTTTAAGGATTCTTATACCAAACAATGAATGACTGATCTTAAATTTATATTTCATCAGTTGTAACACAAAGGCTTGACCTTTGACCCTTGTCTACCTGTGTACTCTTTCCTGGTGGTAAACTGCCTGACTTGATGGTGAAGTCAAAAACTTTATACATGACTCGGAAAACATCCTTAGTACTGTCTGCCCCCTGCTCAAAGTTATAGTGACAGTACTGACATAAAACAAGTATTACTGTACATAGAAAACTTAAATATGAGTGTTTTCTGTGAAGTTTAAGTGAACAGTGCGTAAAAATCTCAAAAAACATATATTGTACATATATGAAAAAAGTATGGTGTGAAAAGTAGTGCAAAATGACAATTTACTGAGTACCCAAAAGGTACAAGTTATACCAGTTGTATATTGATAAATATTAAAAAAATATAAACTGAATATTTCTAAAATAGTTAAGCAATGTTTACTTAAAGACAGTGCCTGGTGTTCTGTGAATTTAAATATCAAAAGATAATTTGTTTTAAGTGAAAGTGAATTATATCAGTAAATTAAAATACACTGGAAGTACTAGAAACCAAACACTGTACCTTGACATATGGAGGGGCAAAGGAAGAGACAATCCACTGCATGGGTTCATCAGAGGTGTTAGTCAGCTCAAAGCTGGTCTCTACAAGTATTTCATTACTGAGAAATTAATTTAAGCACTGTGAAACACATGTACTTGAACAAACATTATCTATACTTTTCAGTTTTCTTTGAAACATTGCTTTTGAAAACCAAATTCAATACAAAACTATCCAGATGTAATAGAAGAGTTCCAATACCTGATTGTTCTCCTACTTTGGTGATGGGGAACTCTATCTTATGAGCTGAGGTCTGCATCATGCTCCCTACACTAGACTCGTAGGGCAGACTGATCGTGGGCCCCACGGTGGGTCTGAACACTGGGACAAGGGTCTGGATCAGGGCCGGCTGACTGTCCTCTAACTCCGTCCTTATCTGGACCTGCACCTTCTGTAATAGCAAAGTAATACATTGTTGCAAAATTCAAACATTAAATCTACGCTCTTTATTTAAATGTGAGGAACTTTTTCTCTTCGTTATATATGTAATGTAATGAAGTAACCTTGGTTTTCTGACCACAGGAGACATGCACACATCCGCTCCATGGAAGTTCATTGATTAACTTGTACACAGTTGGACTCGGACTGATGCACACTGTCACTTTGTCCCTGGAACATTATAGAAAATAAAGAATTTATGTATTGCAACAAAGTACATGTACATATAATGAAAGTTTTCAATGCATGTTAATTCAGTGATGTTAGCTCAAATATGCTTACTTTGGTCCTACAACTCCGCCCTCTGGAGTCAATTTCAATTTCTGGCCTGGCCATGTCAACTCATACCTACAGAAAATAAATGGTGAATATAGGATAAAGGTGGTGCAATTTCTGAGTTTATGTTTGTACTACGTGAATAAATACCTGTTACGAGCATGTTGACAAATTATATGTATGTCCCCGTGAAATCAGTTGACCTTTTCAAGATTCAACAATGAATATGTTGTCATCTGACAAACCTATATCTATATAGAGATAAACCTACATTGTTCAAATAGTGTTCTGCAAGAAAAAATACTTGCAAATATAAATATTTTCTGATGTTGTACTTACGACATTGATTTGCTTTGAAAGTTACTGATCTGAAACTTCAGAATTGGAAGCTTTCCATCTTCTAAAAGAAAATACATGTACCATATAATCCCTATTAACCGCCCCGGGTGCTTAGAAAATTGCTAAAAGGGGGTGGTTATTTTGATATTCTCTTTATAATATCTAATATCATATTTTAACTTCAAGAAATTTTTGAAAAAAAAAAAAATCAAAGAACCACTAAAATAAAGTCTAACTTTACTTTAAGTGAAGATAATCCACCCAAATTATGCTAAATTATTCATTTTCAGCCAAGAAATTGGATAATAGTCAAGCTTCATTTTCACTTTCTTCAAATTTTGGCAGACTTTTGAAACGATTCTAGATGATATTAAACAGTGTACAGGGGGCCCTTATTTCCTGACAATTGACAAAATATAGGGGCAGGTGGCGGTTAATAGGGATTATACGGTAACACAAGTTTATATTACATAAGCAGTGTTTTTACTAAATCATTTTCCTTAGCAAAAATATTGAACATGGTCAAATTGTGTTTGAATGTTTACAAACTACTTAAGCTATTGTATCTCTGTTGATTAATGAAGAAACGTAGGCTTACTGGAGACACGGAAGATGAGTTGTGTAGGTTTCACTGTCCAGTCTTTGTCATCTTCCTCTGGTACAAACAAAGGAGAGTTGTGTAGAGGGGTGGTGTTACTATGGGGAGATATACACCTGCAAAAAATTCCATTTATTACTGTTGAATCTCTTTGCATCGACTTTGATTCTTTATTTTTCATCTTCACACAGAAAGATATGAATTCACTGACTACAGAACTTAGGTCAAGACTAGAAATGGATTTGAATAGACATGATTTAACATAAGAAATATTAATCTATGCATAAAAACTATACTAACAAGAACTGCTGAAGTTCCACCTACCTGTTAGGATCTTTTGAGGGTATTCCAGTCAGACTACCACTGGTTCTCAAACCTTTCTTAACACTAATGGGAGATTTACCAGCATGGTGGATCTGGGGCGTTTTTGTGAGGGAGAATTCTGAGGGTGCTCCCACAAGAGCTATATATAGCCTGGACATGGTGTTGTAAAATGTGTCAACCAGGGAGTTCATGTTCACTTCCTGGGGCACTGAAAATGAGAGAAGTCCTCAATGAATCATTACTATCAAAAATTATAAAAGCAAGAGTAAACTTTAAAATAAGGCAGAAAGGAAGAAAGGAAAGGAATAAACTAAAACAAAAGAGATACATCTATAAATTAATTCTATTTAAGATAATACCTGAAGATTCTGGAACCAAGTTCTCGTCTGGGAAGCTGTGATTCAGATTGAGTGACAGAGATAATGAATCAATAGAAGAGCTGGGTTTGTATGGTTTTGCTGAAGAACTCAAGGCCCTAATAAGGAAAAAAAGGATTAGTAAGGCTAAATAAAATTGAAGTCTTGGTTCTCAGGCCCGCGCGCATCCGTTTAGAGGTAGCCGCATTGCCGATTTTATTGTATTTTTTAAAAAATAAAAAGTGGGTATTGCGGAGACCAATCCGGGAAAAAAAATTCCGCCCTCATTTGTTTCGTAGTTTAGTATTCAAATATCACTTCCGGTAGCCATTTACAATGAGATTTTGGCTACTTCGTTTGAAAATACATTTGAGGACATTACCTACGATGTTTACACACTGTTAAGCAATGGATAAGGCAGAGAATTTGACCAGAAATGAAAAGTATATCTGTGATTAAAAAATTATCTTTATGTTAAAGAAAATTCGGAAATTAAAATTAAAAAAAAAACCTCCCTCATCTACTTTATTGTCAATAAAATGAAAAATAAAATGCCGCCCTCCCGCATCTGTTTTGGAGAAAATTGGCCTGAGAACCAAGGAATTAAATTTAGATAGCCTAAAGAACTATCTAGTAAGTCTTAAAAAGTGTATTATTTTTTAGAATTCATGAATCGTGTTAAATAATAAGACATTTAGTTGATGTAAACTGGTAATATCCAAACCTTATAAATCGCTGCCTGGAGATTTCATCTCCGTAGAAGGCCACTACTGTAGACACAATTTGTTTGCTGTTGGTACACAGTGATGTCTCTCGATCAGAGGGGTTCAACACAATTATCACAGACTGACAATAAAACAAAATTACTTGTGTAAATATGTATACAGTCCAACTTCAATATCTCAAACTTAATGGAACCAAGAAAATACCCTTCAAAATACATGTATCAGAGGGATTTGAGCCATTGTGGGTAAAATTCATAAGGAAAAGTGATTGATACTCCACATAACTTCTATGAAACCATGGTATTTAAGATACTTGCATGTTTATGTATTCAAGATAGCAAAGTTCATTGATCTAAACTGTGATTTAATAAAAGTTATAATCACACCTTTGTTCCCTCTTGTTCAAGGACAAACTCGCTGGGTTCAACCAATACTTTACTAGAGATATTATCCTTTCTGCAATTTGACCCTGAAATGACACAGACGTAAAACTATAAGTACATCACACTGTGATTTCACTTCTTCTTTTGGGGGAATAATTCCCTCTACTCCAAAAGATAAATGTGGAAACATTTTCTAATCAAACAAACCTGTGTAGGCCATCAGTTTGACATAGACAGGTCTTGAGCCGACATTCCGTACGATGATTTTTTCTCCAGTCTCCTGACCTAGTGATATATCCCCCATGTCCAGACAGTATCTGTTCATGTCAGCAATACTGGCTCCCTCCACTACCAGCTTACCAACTCCTCCATAACCAGACACAGGGATCTACGATATTCAAATAAATATGATTTCATCTTACACCTCACATATACAGTAAATAAATGTGACAATAGTATGTTGTACAAATAAAACTTGTTTATTCATGTAAAATATTTCTTCAATCAAGATAATTGCTTGTCTCAGATAGATTTCAAAAGCTGTTGCAATTAATAATTGGATTACAGTATTTTCATAGGACACAGTGCATTACTGATATGAATTTAACTTTTTAGATCTAAAATGACCTACCGAGAACTTGTACGCCGTGTCATAAGGTTTGATGACAACTTTGCCAGAGTTCAGTGCAGCTGTGAGTGGGGAGTAGGTGACATACACAGGGTAGGTCTCTAGGGGCTGGATAATGACGTCTCTGATCTCTGTCAGGCTGTTAGACTGAATGGAGGAGGTTCTCAGCTGAAAGGACAAAGTTTTAATGCTTTATATAAAATACATGAGCGTTTTCTCAATACATACATCTAATAATGTTTGAAAAATATTTCATGTACTGTTTTTTAATAAAGCTTCTCCATTTTTAAAGAACAAAGTCTAACAGAAGTCGCATCTGATACAAGAGGGAATATTTTACCTTGAAAACGTGTGCTTCATCTCGAACTTCCAATTTTAATTTCAGAGGATACTGTGTTTGATTTTTCAACCGGAACTTGTTTTCCCTGGAATGATAAACACTTTTAGGTATTAAGTAATCAATGATATATTAAACATGTAAATGCATTAATATTTTAAAACTGGAAAGATAGGAGAGAGAGACAAACTGTAAATTTTATGTGCTTAGATTCATGATTTTTAAGTACACAGATTTACATTACAGAACCTGTTTAATATGATATGCTTACATAGCTTTTCCAATACCCACACCACCAAAGTAGATGAAGCATCGATCACTGAGGACTATAGGAGTGGACTGTCTCTTGGTCACCACACTACCCAGAACAGGGAGCTCATACAGGGGTCCATCAGGCTCCACGTTCATCAACAGAACACTGTAACAACAATCGACAAATATATAGAACAAAGACCTGCTACACAGAATAAGTTTAAGTCATTTAATGAAGACCACTGATAATGAAATGTTTGTTTCATAGATAGGTACATAAATGCTGTTCTGCTTTTATTGAACATTTTTCTCTGAGTTGTAAGTGTATCCTTTCACAATTTTTAGAAATACGTCTTGTTTGTTTGAAATACAGGTACATGTATACCCTTCCTTTAATGAAAGCTCTGTTCACAAAATACGCTCATTTCTTTGCTCCTTTATTGAAGTACATTCATGTTTAATGGGAAATATAATATAATATAAAATTACCTTTCTAGTGCTTTTATCTCTGATTCCAAGGGAAAGAATTTTTAGAAATACGTCTTGTTTGTTTGAAATACAGGTACATGTATACCCTTCCTTTAATGAAAGCTCTGTTCACAAAATATGCTCATTTCTTTGCTCCTTTATTGAAGTACATTCATGTTTAATGGGAAATATAATATAATATAAAATTACCTTTCTAGTGCTTTTATCTCTGATTCCAAGGGAAAGAACTCTACCACCACCTCATTTTCCTGTCCCGGAGGGATTGTGATTTGTTTTGGACGGACTCTGAAAACATCCTCATGATCTGGAATACTCAGGGACACATTTAGATCTATATTCCCGTAGTTCTTCAATGCTATAGAATCCCTAGCAGCCTGTCTCACTGTGGATTCTAACTTGAGCATTTCCAGGTATTTAGGGATGTGAAGCCTCGCTACCCCCACTATGGCTTGTAAGTCTATTGTTCTAAGGGGAGGGATATTAGCAGTGGGCGTGTCCACATCAATGTCAATCCGTGCTGTCATCTCATCAGGAGGATTCTGAGCCAATGCTGTGAATAAAATCAATAGAGTTCACAATTTACAATTAAAGCTAGCATAAAAGTTTCTCATTAATCAGAAAAGCAGAGGAGATGTTAAGCAGAATTCAACTTTAGGGGTGTATTAAAAGTACGATAAGATACCTCTGTCTATTCTCTTGTCTGGTGGTCGACACCAGACTCTGACTTCCTGTTCCGTGATCCCAGAATCCTTTGCTGACCGTCCCGGGATGCACAGTGTGACTACTGTCTTTCCTAATGCAGGCGACTGTGGGCGGCTACTCCTAGAGATGATGGAGATATCTCCCAGAGTGGAATTCTGTCCACTACGATCAAAGGAGAAGCAATGCCAAGGGATGTTATTCTGTCAGAGATACACACAAATTCATTATTAATTGCCATATCACTTACAATCAGTTTTAATTGACAGAAAAGTTAATGCTGACAAAGGCTAGGAAGAACATTGACACTCTCCATAAAGTTAAATATAAATTGTTAGTTTGTGTGTTATTAGTCATTTCTTTATTTGAAAATTTGCTTAATATGTATTTTTTTAGTGCTTCTCAAGTTTGTGTTGGATTAGACAACCTTAAAATGAAAAAAAAAATGTGAAGAAGGAAATTCTGAATGAAATGTTCCATCAATAGACATAAATTAATGAACTGCTATTTATATGTAAAAGTTGTACAAGAATTACGAACATTTTTTTAACTTGAAACTATAAGACAATTTATCAGGAAAGGTACAGAGAAATAAACATCAAAGCTGCTGAAGCATTTATATTAATCAAATCTTAGAATATAAGAATCTCAAAATTCAGTTACGCATCACACATTATGATGAGGGAAGGGAAGTATACAATGAAATGCTAGGTAAATATGATGAGTGTACAATACAGAGAAGTGCAGCACCCACTAAAGATACCTACAACGCCAAGGTTCTTAGTCTGAAAATCACCAGCAACAGCAGGTTTAATTATAATCATTGAATATAAACAGTTCTTGTCAGATCAAAGGTATCAATCACACAGACAAAGATATTTACTGTTTTACATTAACTGGTACGACTAAGAACAAGGTATAGTAAAGACCCTTTTTGACATAAAAATAAAAATAGCTGAATTATAGTTTGTATTTCTGAACGAAAATAATACTTACATCAGAATCAATAATAAATTCAATTAATATCATATGCAGTATGGACCAAAAAGGGGCCTTTAGTCTACCTCATTCTTTGTTAATTAGATAAATCATATAGTTCAGAGAATAAAGTAATTTCTTGAAGCAAAAAGCTTTCAGTGAACAAAATGAAATACGAACCTTTTTTATATATTAAAATTTTATTAACATTTCTGTATTTTAACATCATGTATATTAAAAACATTCCTTCTGTCCTCTGTCATTTAAAATGAAGAAAGGATGAAGACAAGTTTACAAGAAAGGTTCATGCATAGGATTCATGCATAAAACATAACAGTTTTGGTAAACATTATTTATATTCTTTCCCATGCACATGTCAACAATTATTACATACACATTAAAAACAACCTGCTTTAGTTTAAAATATCCTATACTTACACAAGAGATGGAGAGCCTGAGTGGGAGTGAGGCTTGTCCGTAATTAACAATCCCCAGGGTCAGGGATTTACAGCTCCCCCAGGTCACCTGCCCAAAGTTCAGCACCCGGTTCTCCAAACCATACCCATGGACCTGTCAAAATTTAACATTGTGTTACATGCTTATAACAGCCTCTAATGAAATTGATACACTGTGAGAGCATCTACTAAGACATTTCTCTAAGTCTAGACAGTTAAACCAGTGTGGTTCGTTCTAAGTTACCTCAATCTTGGGTTTTTCTGCTATGGCCTGGATTGTGACCACTGTGGGATAAGATGTAGATCCTGTCGCTCTATCCTGTGTAAATCTGTGGGAATGGATCAACAGTTCTGCTACATAAGCACCAGCCAATTTAGGAATAAATATTACCTGCAATGCCAAAAATACTAATCTGTAATACATACATGCATCAACAATTTACTCTATACTGCCAGTCTTCATACATCAGCAAGGATTCATGATGATTCCCACTAATATCTAAGAATATTACTTGGCTTGAAATCCTTATCAATAGACACCTTTCTCTTTCATCACAACATAGAGTGCTCAAGTTAAACAAGAGGCCCATGGGCCACATCGCTCACCTGAGCACTGTGGCTAGTAAGAAGAAGCAATTGATTTATTACTGAAAAGTTTAAATCCAAAAATAGTCCAATGACCAATCATGGCTTTGCTATTCTTGAGAAGATGATTTTTAAAGAATTTTCCCATATATTTCTATGTAAAACTGTGGTCGGCCATTTTGGCTCCGCCCTACCCCCGGGGGTCATGATTTGAACAAACTTGAATCTACACTACGTGAGGATGCTTCCATATAAATATGATCAATTATGGCTTTTCTATTATTGAGAATAAGATTTTTAAAGAATCTTCCTATATATCTATGTACTGTGGTCGGCCATTTTGGCCCCGCCCTACCCCCGGGGGTCATGATTTGAACAAACTTGAATCTACACTACCTGAGGATGCTTCCATATAAATATGATCAGTTATGGCTTCGCTATTCTTGAGAAGAAGATTTTTAAAGAATTTTTCTATATATTTTTATGTAAAACTGTGGTCGGCCATTTTGGCCCCGCCCTACATGATTTGAACAAACTTGAATCTTCACTACCTGGGGATGCTTCCATATAAATATGATCACTTATGACTTTGCTATTCTTGAGAAGAAGATTTTTAAAGAATTTTCCTATATATTTCTATGTAAAACTTTGGTCGGCCATTTTGGCCTCGCCTTACCCCAGGGGGTCATGACTTGAACAAACTTGAATTTACACTACCTGAGGATGCTTTCATATAAATATGACCATTCATGCCTTTGCTATTCTTGAGAAGAAGATTTTTAAAGAATTTTCCTATATATTTCTATGTAAAACTGTGGTCGGCCATTTTGGCCCCGCCCTACCCCTGGGGGTCATGACACCTTCGCTACCTGAGGATGCTTCCATATAAATATGATCAATTATGGCTTTGCTATTCTTGAGAAGAAGATTTTTTAAGAATTTTCCTATAATTTTCTATGTAAAACTTTGGTCGGCCATTTTGGCCCCGCCCTACTCCCGGGGGTCATGATTTGAACAAACTTGAATCTACACTACCTGAGGATGTTTCCACATAAGTTTCATCTTTCCTGGCACAGTGATTCTTGAGAAGAAGATTTTTAAAACATACCACCAAATTTTCATTAATTCCCAATTATCTCCCCTTGAATGAGGGCGTGGCCCTTCATTTGAACAAACTTGAATCCCCTTTACCCAAGGACGCTTTGTGGCAAGTTTGGTTGAAATTGGCCCAGCAGTTCTTGAAAAGAAGTCGAAAATGTGAAAAGTTTCAAAATGTGATCAGAAAAGCTCACTTGAGCTTTCAGCTCAGGTGAGCTAAAAATAGTATCTAAGCTCTTAAAGCTATATCTCTGATATACACGTATTTTTTTGAAATGTCAGATTATAACAAATCTTTACTTTTGAGTCCTATTATACATCTTATTTCCTGACTAGACAAAGTGATTAAATACCCCTGGTACTGATGAAGATATCAAATATAACAAACCTCGATCTTTTCCATGGTGTTGGGTTCTATGATCACCTTCTGCTTCATCTCGAATGGCACGGTAATGCTGTTGCCCACTGCCTGCCCGTCCATGGATAGTTGTCGGATCTGGAGGATGCACTCCAGCCAGCGATTGGTCGGATTGGTCAGTGGGAGGGTGGTCTTTACGGAGATCCCCACACAACAAACATCTGGGAACGCCAGGATCTCAGGAGCCTTAATGGCAGCCAGTCCAGTGTATTCTGGTATGGTGGATGTGGTTTTGGCTTGAAAATCAAGGGAAAAAAGTAGCATTGAATGACTTCTACATTAAAAGATCTGTCAAAATTGAAAGTTCTGTAGAGTATTACCTGGTTTAAAATCCTTCTCACCAAGAGTCCTTTCTCCATCCACAACAGACAGCATGGAGTGGTTTAACTCGTAAAACTGCGTCTCTGACATATTGGTGGCATCCCTTTGGAATGGAGTGCTGTGGTACGCGGGGGGCTGTCTGAACATACTGGCCTCGTCTGCCAGTCTCCTGCCATCAGTCATTGGTTCAGACAGAATCCTTCGATGTCTCGACTGGTCTGGGGTCACTAAACTGTGCTGACTAAGATCGGCTATACTGTGTTCTTGAATGTCACTTTGTGAATGAGAAAATTTCTTATTCATTGCATGGTCTTGGGTAGGTGGGTGGTCTTGCCTCATTGTAAAAATATCCCCATGAGACTGAGAAAACTGCTTTGTGGATAAAATTTTCCTGGTGGCAGGAGGTGGTAGATACTGTTGAGCAAAGCTGCTTTTTAACAGAGACTGTCTTGTAAGGAGCATGGGTGGATCTGAAGTTTTGTGATGTGGAACAAGATTATGGTGAAAGCTTGGAACAGGTGGGGGTGGCATTAAATCCCGGTCTTCCTGAATTTTCTGAACATTAGATACATTTTCTTTGTTGTATGCACCTTCAGAAATCTCTTCTTCTTGCACTTCATACTTCTTAGCTGTATTAGAATTCCTACCACTGTTATAATTCTCATCAACATCATAATATCTGTCACTGTTATCAATGTCATCATCATGTCTTGAGTGATGATTACTTTTATTTCTTTCCCTGGTTCTTTGATCACTGGAGTCTCTACTGATCCTCTGGTATTGATATTTAGAGTTGGTCTCAAGTCCCATATCACTGGCAATGAGATCAAAGCCCCTTGAATCTGCAAGCTGAATATCCTCCGTGCCTACCAAGTCTTCTCTTGACATTCCCATGTTAATTTGATGTGGATAATCTGCTTTAAGACTGTAGTCTGTGCCGTCTGGAATATGATGACCTGTTAGGTCTTCTTTAGCATTACCATGTGGAGATCTAATCCGATTCTCTCTGGATTCACTATTAGCACTGCTATGTCTGGATCTCTCTCTGTAATCCGACGTGTTGATTGGCACACTTGAAGGCAGGCGGATGTTTTCTTGAGATGATCTATGGCTTCCTCCACGACTATGAGGTGAGGACATACTGCCCCTAGACCCTTGGTTACTGTGGTTGGACAGGTGTGATACATTATACTGTGGAACTTTATCCATCTGATGGCTAGCATACACAGCCCCTCTATCACTGGCCTCTACAGTATCACTATGACAGGAAGTTTTTAACATAACGTCTGAAGGCGTCACATTGTTACTTCTACTGATAGGAGACAGGGACACATCAGATTCCTCACCGTCAGGCCTCGTTTTATGTAGAATGTTCTTCAGCTCTGTTTCATCTACTCGCTGAGGATCTGAACCTTTAGAAGTAAAGGAGTGTGAATTCTGGCTGCTGTCGTGTTCAGGCGAGTCTTGTGATGATTTCCTTGGAGACGACCCTTTGATCTTGTTTATCACATCTGATCCTCTTCTGATGGGAAGTTTGGTGGCTTTATTAACAGGATGACGAATGGATTTGGAAGATTTCTGAGACAATGCCATGACCATTTTAGATAGTTCTGTTGGCCTGGTGTCCTTTGGCACAGATTGTAGCAAGGAATGTAGCAAGGTTATACTGAGAGAATCTGAAAGAGATTTTTATGAAGTATTAGTACTCCTGAAGCTTAAAATTAACACCTTTGTCTATATTTTCTATCAAATCAGATTGTATGTTCAGTGTCAGTGTCCAATATATAGTATTAGGAAAAGTTTTTTGAGGAATTTAAAGAATATAGTACAATTTATCTTAAACAAAACTGTGATTGGGCGAATTTTTATTGCAAGTAAATAGCCTCTGTATACAGTAGAGTTTTTCCCCTGAATTTATTTGAAAGAAATTTTTAAAACAAATACTTGAGATCCTGTGATTTTTTTGTACCATCAGAATCCCTAAGAGAGTCCTGTAGCTTGGACAGCTCAGCTGATAATTGCATCACTGGGATTTTACTCCCTGGTGACTGAGACTGGGACTCTCTGCTCTCCTGATATGCCGGGGAGGGCTCTAGATCAGCCAGGGTCACTGCATCATCCAAAAGAGTTCTGTCCTCTGAAAAAATAATGGAATGAACATGTACATGTACATATTGACACAAAAAGACAGATTCCATTTAAAATTGGAAACAACATTTTGAATTTTTGTAGGACAGATTGCAGCAACAAAATTTTCATTTTCTTTAGATTTTGAAATTAACAAACCATGGTTTTACTGTAGGAAAATGAAAAGAGGTATTTTAACCAATATTGAGTAAAATAGAAAAACATTACATGATGTAAAATGCCCTGTCTTGGCAATGCCCACTGTGTGCTTACTTTTTCCAGAGTTTGATTTTTTTTACTGTGTACATTATGTATCTATGCACTTTAAACACAACTGTACAATCAGGTACACGTGTACTGTACATACCATCCTCATTGCCGACCCCCTCTGTCCTACACTTTGACGCTTGAGGACTTCTCTCTGATTCATACTCTCCTGAAGCTTCAATCAGCGCCATTGGTTTTCTATTCTGGGGTGGTGTTTTGATTTTCATACCAAATTCAGGCTGAAAGTAGGTGTAAGTGATATAATGCTTACAATTATGCTATAAAATTTGTTTCATAACTTTTTTTAGCATACAACTCTTAGAATGCTGAAACTTACAATTGATTTGTTAGGATTATTTGTATAGTTTTAACTCAGAATTTTGAAACACTACTCACCCTTTCATGTTCGCCTTCCCCTCCTAGACACCCTAATGCACCCGAGCGACTTTTCATGAAGGTTCCGATAGATATCCTGAGGTCTTCTCCATTTTCAGGTTTCAGGAATGAGGGACAGGAGATGGACATTTTGCTGGAATATCCCCACGAATCTGGAGAACCAACAGGGGTCACAATCTTTGCATCCTGAAGTAAAATGTTAAATGTAATTCATCACATCTGTTTAAGACATAAAGTTTTTAAACTTCAGAAAATCATAATCACCTCATTGTAAGTGTGAATCCAATATAAAAATGTTCATTGTACCTGTTTTGTTTTGTTTTTTTAATTATTGTCTTTAACAATAGAATACATCATTATGTACATATGATATTTTGCTTTTTTTTTATTTCTTTTATAGATGTATTCAAAAGACATGAATTGTAAGTGTGAATTCAATATAAATATATTTTTAAATCATCTTTCACAATAGAGTACATGTATTTAAGAAATAAGGTATCATTTTTAAACATCTATCAGGATATAAATTATTGTTTTACTTGCACAATGTGACATACTCTCTTCCTCATGAAATTAACAAATTTTGATCAAATCAGAGGGCAATTTCTTTCAAAAGATACCTCTCTAAACACATGCTCCTTCTCAAACTGTTCTTCATCCTCATCCAGCATGGCTTTAGCTGCATCTACAAAAGGGATTTTATCTGTACAGCAACCTTACACTTTGTTTATACATTCATGTATATACATGTCCTTCTATTATGTACATCTGATGCATTAACTTTTAGCAAGGCCATTTACTGATGCAATTATTCCCTTAAATATTTTGATTCCCTTTCACATATAAAAAATTGTTTGTATTCTTGCTTGTTCATATAATAACGTTGCACATTTCAAAGTAAATTGCTAGCAAGTCATAGTTACTGCAGACAAATATTCAGCCATGACATCAAAATATTTTGGCAAACTGTTCCTGTAATTATACACACATATAAAAATTTGTTTGTATTGTTATCTCCCCAGAGACATCCTTATACAAAAATGTTGAATGTAAACATTCTTATAATTTTTAAAGCAAATTGCTAGGCAAGCATCTCATTAAGTTCAAGATCTAGAAAATGACTTTAGACTAATTTTTAGGAGGCAGATCTATTGATGTCATAATCAACTTCAACTTTCTTTTTCCTGTACTTTACCACTTTGGCAGAATTATGTAGAAAATAGGGTATTTTCATAACATTCAATTTGATATCATATGAAAAGTAATCCCGATACCTATATTAAATTTGATATTATTTTGAGAAGAGTCCAAGAAGATACAAATTACTGTTTCTGAGAGACTGTATCTCTGAAGACATTTTCATTTATATACTATGTTCATGACTGGTTTTCTTAATTTTTCATTGAAAATGACAGTTTAAAATATGGTTTTTCATCTTGTTTACCTACAAATTATGCCCCAAAACACCTTATGTTGACCAAGCTAAAGTTGCAAAGTATTATTAAAAATATTCTCAAATTTGATAAACAGGCATCTCATTAACAATGATCGGGTTTTTTTGGTAACCATTCATTTAGTTTCGATTTACATTTACTTTTACCTTGACTTTTGGATAGCCTGGGTGAGTACTGAGCTTTGATTGGTTGTGACAAAGAGACTTCTGGGAAGCTCCTCCTAACAGATGCTGACTTGTCTGTCCCATAGTACTGACTCAGTCTGGGCTCCATAAACACATAATTATCAGAATCTGGAAACCTCTCAGGCAGGCTGGGGTGTTCACTCTGAAAAGGGACTTTGTTTTGATTTATTATGCACTGCCTTAGAAGAAGTCATATCATACTGAACATTAAGAAACATGCATGTTGTTAAAACTTTTCCTCTATTTTTAATATTATGCTTTATTGCTAAGTTAATTTAGAAAGAAATCAATTTATCACATTGTACATAAAGGAACATGCATGTTTTTCCTGCTGTAGAGATTTACTGGATTCCTGACTGATTTTTGGACTCTGTCCTGAAAGAACATGGCTTGAGACTGAGCAAATCTATTATAACCTGGTTGACTGTGCTTTATTAGCCTCTTTGTTCAGTCCAAAGGATCCAAAAGAGGATTCCAGACCATCAAATGGATTGCTCAATGCCTGCTGAAACAAAGTATTTACATGAACCTCTGGTTACCTAGTAGTAAATATATTTAAAATATTTTTTTGGACATTATTTAAGTTAATCTTCATACCATTATCACATCACCAATACTTAGAATTCTTAATCCCCATATAATGTTTGATGTCTGCTGAACTGGTTGTTTTTCCTGCTGTAGAAAGATTTTTCCATGGAAATTCCTGACTGATTTTTGGACTTTGTCCTGACAGAGAACTGAGTCTCTGGCTGGCCTGAGACTGAGCACTGGTTCGAGTTCGAGTGCTCATGGGGCTGGCATTGAGTTGTAACCACTGATTGACATTGTTCTGAGACTCTTCGGTGTTAGCCTCTTTGTTCAGTCCAAAGGATCCAAAAGAGGATTCCAGACCGTCAAATGGACTGCTTAATGCCTGCTGAAACAAAGTATTTAAATGAACCTCTGATATTATTTAAATTCAACTTCATCCCAATATAATGCATGCTTACAATGCAAAAATAATTTCAAATTATATGCATTACAGTTTTATCAACAACTATACATTCTCCAATCTCTATAATGATCATACAGCATTAAGTGTATGATCACAAAGATTGAAAACAAATAGTTCACTACAAAACAAAGATTTACCAACCTGAACATCGTCAACATTGCAGCCTGAGGCCTCCAGTCTGTCCCCTGGGGATTCAAACACCTCAATGGTTTCTGGGTTAAATGTACCCCCAAAAATGTCATCTGTGGTGTCCATCCTCTGCCCCTGGGGAAGGGAGGCATCTGTGTAGGAAGGCTTGAAGTACATGGAATTCAGCTGAGAAGGGAGATCTTCTTCACATTTTTCTACCTCCTAATTTTTAAACATTTATAAACTTTTTTGTTAAATGTAAGTATTTACATCGAACAAAATACAAGTAGATTACACTCATATTTTCATGTGATCATATCAATTCTGTATGTTTTCAACCATGAAAAGTTGCTCAAATGATTAGATGATCTTGAAAAAAAAGTTCTTTGTAGTTCAAATAAAAATTAAGATTCAATGTGAAAAATAGATTAAATGTGACACTTAAGAGTAACAAATGCATAAAATAAATTAATCAATAAACACTCAGGACAAAGGAAATAAAGATAAGCTTTCACCTGTTGTTCCTGGTATCTGTTGGGTCCTTTCTCTGTCAGCAGATCATCCCCCATTGGTTTAACTCTCTGTTCCTGAAATCCCAACCAGGCAATATTACATATCACTAACAAACACACATTGAGTATCGTCATTAGTATTCAACTTTCTAAAATACAACTGTATTTATTAAACATTTACATGTATCTGAGATATAAAACATGTACCCCTGGTTCTACTCCTAGGTTTCTGCTTTTGTGGGTGGGAGATTTGAAGCTTTCTTTAAAGGTATCCAGGAATTCCTTTGCGGGAGAACTTTTTGCCTGTGCAGGAACCGCTCTTTCCCTTGATAAAGTAAAATGAACATATCTTCCACACAGGTTCTAAAAACTAATGATCTCAATAACTGAAGCATTTATAAAGAGAATTCCACTTATACACATTTACTGCTGCACACGACTTACTCTTCTGAATCCGATTCATTCTGTGGAAAACTTTTCCCACCTGTCCTGTCAGGTGAGTTGACCACATCCCCCTCAGCAGAGTACCTCATAGACAGGGACACACTCTCAGTCCCGCCATTTACTGCCCCCATATCTGTAACAATGTTACAAAAAATGGCATTATACACAATAATAATCATAACTTTAACGAAACAATATTTGTACCTTTACTTTCATTTCATCTATGATTCACAATTATATGTGAATATGTCAATAATATGTGAATTATACTGTAAACCAACTTTTATTTGCCACCTCATTATTTCGCAATTTACTTGGGGTAAACTAGTTTGCGACGATTAATTTTCGCAATCAAGCGTTTTTTGGATTCTGGGGTTAATAGACACAGAGACTTTAAGGACAGATTCATAGTTGCCAACTCACCTGATTTCGTCGGGTCACACCCGATTTTTCAACCCGTAACCCGATTATTTTTTATGACCCAGCGGGTCATGCTTTTCACCCGATTTTTGCCGACAAACCCGAAAATCTCCCGATTTCCGGATTTGGTTCGTAAATTAGGTTGCACTTTTAACCTCCAGTTACAACCCAAACTTAGATCTACGTAAACAATGCCCATGGATTAATTGTCAGTGCAGGTGTATACAATTAACTGGGTGTTGTTTTGACAATTCAATGTTTGAAGTCAATTAAAATGGCTTCCGATAGAACTAGAGTAGATCGTTTTCAGGGCCAGCAGGAACAAACTGAACCAAACAAACGTCTCGGATTGAACCAAGAAAAAGAGAAACAATATTTATGTACATATCAAGGAATCTTGGAGAAAGAAATTCATTCTAGATAAAATAAAGTGATCGAAGACAGTGTAGGCCTAACTTCACATCTAATATAATTGCAGTAGTTAATTAATTAAGAGAGAGGAAAAATAACTTCAAAACTGAAATTGGTATACTTTCAAATTTAGCAGAAACTGAAAAGGCTTTTTCTTTCAAAAAAAAATTACACTAACTTCAGATCAATACTGAAATATGAAACCTTCAATTCTCTTTTTTAACATGTAAATTTATTAATCAAATTATGTATGAATTCTTTGTCATTGCAAGTTAAAGCCTTTTTCAATAAAAGAATTCTCAATACACAAATACTTTGTATAATTATATATGTATAAAATTTAATCATGGTAAATATGCCGTGAATGTCGTTACGCGTTATGACCAGATTTTTTACTTTCCAAATCTGGTCATGACCAGATTTTTACATGCTGGAAGTTGGCAAGTATGGACAGGTTTGTGGCAAGAAATATTTGCAATGATGAGGCTCTCGCCAAGCCTGTGAAAATTTCTCACACACGAATAAAAGTTGGTTTACAGTATGTGAATAAATGTTTTAAGAACAGGAAGGGTGAATGAGGGATAGAATAACCTCTCTTTGGTGTGTTAACTTCCAAGTCTGCACTTTGACCTGCTCCAGAGCCTCTTTTTGAAATACTTTTGTCCACATCTACAGACTGATCAAACACCTGAAAGAAAATATCAAAATCTGAATTACATTTTTTTTCTTCCTAAATAATAATGGGTAATGCTTACTTTTTGCTGAAATTATGAGACATTTATTTTTTTTTAATTTATCAAAAGCTCTTTTTTGAAACATAGAAAATTATTCAATGTACAAAACTCTGAAGATTATAAATTTATCAACTAGAAAACTGACCAGTCAGCAAGGGCCCCGCTGAGGGGTAGAAACATAAGGGTGCAGCTCAATGAATGAGAGTTTTACTTGATTACATTTTTTTAAATATATGAAGATTATAAGTAACAACATTATTTTAAATCCATATTTCAGAGAATGTACACATCATTCAAAATTGACCTTAACTTCAAAACAAAGTTCATTTGCAGACTGAGGCAATACAGTAATTAATCTCAATGTGACAGATAAAGATAATGCTAAGGATTTTCTTCATGTGGAAGGTTAATTAATCTCAAAGAACAAATTGCACAGCCTTCCCAGTTTACAATGGTAACATTCTCAGCAGTTATCTCTCTTTACCCATTTATTCTTATGCATAGTTAAGGAATCTACCCCACCACCCCAGCTCCAAACCAGAAGACATAGAGAACCAAACTTAGCATCATAATACGTATTTCTTTCCTACCATACCAAATTTGAAATGGGCAACCATAAAAAAAGTTTTTGAAAAACAGAATATTTGTATCCAACGTACAGACAACAGACGGAGTGATTACTTTAGGGCACCCGCAAATCCTTGCAGGGCCCTAATAAGTACATTTTCATAAATGTATCACTTTGTATACAAAAAAATATGAATGCTAACTAAATAATCCTCTTGTCTCAAATCAAACAAAAGAATGAGCGAACAAATGAATTTTACCTCACTGTCCATTCTTACAGCTGCAAGGTTGGGATACTGAGCGCTTGTCCTGGCTGATAATGGCTGGCTTACATCCTCAGAGCTTCCAGCATCTGCAAAATATACTCAGCTTTCAGCAGTTTTCCTTTATTTCAAAGTAAAGGGTTAGAGATCAGTTATAACAGGCTAGGGGCTGAGGTTTATGAACAGAATCTCTGTGGACCTTACGACAACTTTTTATTTCAAAGCAGCATTTTTGTCAATTGAGGAGGTCAATTTGGCCGGTAGCCGGTTCTTAGGGAAAACACTGAGCTTTGATAACAAATAGAAATATGTCCATAAGACATGAATGTCCTGTCCAAGGTTCATAAGCAATGCTACATGAAAAGAGAAATGTAAACATGTTCTTAGCTTCTGATTGAGGCAAATGAGAAATAGTGCAAGATCAAGGTCACAATTGAATAGCTCTCAACAATTTGTATAAGGACGATTGCTGAAAATGTTTTCTTTGAAACTAAGCTTAATCCAGTGAGTGATGGACAGACCAGACAAAAAACTGACATGACAAACACTGTATGCCCCATCCATATTCATTAAAGGGCATAAAAATCATATGCCTCCTAATGTGAAAATTCTGACTTAAGTACATGTACATGTATTTATACACCTAGCACTTTCACTTCTTTGGGACCAATAGATCCAGAAAGACATGTCAGTTTAATACTAGATGCCTTCAGTCAGTCCAGCAAGGCACTAAAATTGATCAGAAGGGTTAATTTTTATTTAGACTTTAATTAGATGTACCATCAAAGAGTGTGACTTTGCTGAGACTAGGGTATCTTCTCTCAGAATTCCCCGCTGCCCCTGGTAAGTTAGAGGTGTCCTGTGTATCTGAGGTTTCTGCCTCTTCTGCCGTGACAAACCGAGAAAACGTGGAGCCAGACTTCAAATATACAGAGTTCCAAATGTCATCACCTGTTAATGAAAAAAGAATAACATGGAGAATTTCTGATATATTTTTATTGAGGGTAGAGGAGCATAAACTTTAAAACAGGATAAAATATAAAAAAAAACTTAAAATGATATAACAATATCAATTTGGTTTTTGTTTGTTATGTTATAGAATACAAGTTTTAAGAGTTTGATTCAAATTTCACAGCTAAGGTCACATAATGCCATTTAATTCGACTACTTGTAACCTGCTGTGTTATCACTGGTGGTATGGAGCATCATCTCAGATTGATCTGGATTAGGTATCCCAGCATACTCTAGAGCACTCTCATTGGTTGTTACATCTAGGTCAAAGTCTTCATCCAGCTGTTCTAGCTCCCCCTCCTGAAACTGGATGTCTGGAATTGTCACGTCCCCCTCCTCCTCCGCAATGATCCCCGAGATTTGTCCAGCTGACATGGTGGGGAACAAACTCTGTTTTAAGACCCCCTGAAAAAGTTATTTCACAGATAAGTTTTGGATTAAAAAAAATCTCATTTTCTTTCAATTTCCATCATCAGTCTGAATTTTAAAAAATGTCAGTTTTAACAAAGTAACTTGAACTGGAGTTAAATATTACAGCTGGTTCTCTTGATTTTGGAGAAGATGGTATCTTTTTCACTGTGGCAGTATCTGAATTGAAGAACTTTTCTTCTGACAACTGCAGAACACTAGCAGATAAATCTGTAAAGCAGACATACACATGAGAATTCATTATTTACAAAATATTGTAGGCATTATAAATATGTACCTTGTAAAAAATTTTCTCAAACATTATATATGATTTTTATGTTTGATCATGTTGATTAGTGCCTCATTTTAAAGAATTAATAATGAAAAATGTGTACATATAAAATTTAAGCAGGATTTGTATCAAAATAATGAATATTCTTAAATAATTATAAAGACCAATCATCTCTCTCCTTTTTCTCTCTCCAGATACTTTTGATTGTTAAATAAAAAATTTACAAAATGTGAAAAAATATCTTTTTATACAATATTTACAAACATATCTTCATAATCATGATAATGTTCATACCACCCATTGCATCTACTGGAATCAGCCCCAGGGAGGAGTCCCTGCCTTGTCCCCTGAACCCCAGACACTCTGCACCGAGTCTGTAATAAAATCAACACTCAATAGTATTCACACAATTTTCTGGCTTAAAAATATTACTTTACAAAATAGAGTAGGAATATTGTACATGTTGAAGGGCATATTTTTTTTTTAAAACTTTTATCTAATTTATTGTAATATTTATACCTGTCATATTCATTCTCTTGCCCTCTCTTTGGAGTATTAAAATCTTCTAAAAATGATCCATTTTCTCTCCATTTCCCCTTGTCTTGTCGGTTCACATTTGGTCTCTGTGGCCTGCATATTTGATATCAATTTGCATGTTAAAATGTTTCATTATTCAATCTAACTATTTCAAATAAAAAATTAATAGACTCTTTTGTATCCAAAAAGATTAATATTTTCTATTTATTTTTTCTAATCATTACAGATATCAGATTCGTATACAGTTATTGGCTGGGTATGAGCCTAATATGAGGGCAATATATGATTTGTTGGACCTGAAGGAGAAAATATTGCCCAAGATCACAGGTCAAATGTGACATTATCATTTTTTTTTTTTTTACCTTGAAACTGTTGAAGCAGCGAGTGGTTCTCTACTTTTAAAGAATGAAGCCTGCATACTCTCTCTGATATTGCAGCCATTTGCATATTAAAATGTTTAAGAAATTGGAGAACACATCAGAACTATCTTTTTAAAGCTAATACATGTAAATAAATCTTAAGATTAGCTTACATTATCAGTCAGAGACGATAATTCACACAGGTTGCTAAAAAGACAAATAACATATGTTATTTTACACACACAATTTTTTTAAATAACTTATTTAAGTTGCTTTTTAATTCCATTTAAGTTATTTTACACAGTACACACTTTCTTTTTAAATAATAACATATTCAAGTTACTTTTTATCCCAATGGTTGAAAAGAAAGTCCTTGACAGGTGCTGCAATTGTATAACTCTTTAAAAATATGTTTTTTCCCCATCATTATGGAAAACTTGAAAATGTGCACAGTCTATATTTGAAAGACAACAGACCATCAAACCTGACCAAAATACATTGCCTACGATCTGATGCATCATTTTTAAACTGAAGTGGAAGAGTAGAAATCACTCGACTGACCAAGCCATGAGCTATGCATAAGCATAGCTATGTGACATTATCAGTGATTTTTTTTTTTAAAATTGCAAACTCCTTTGAAGCAGCAAAATTGTTGGTTCTCTACCCCTTTTCATACGAGAAAATTTGCTTTATGTGTGCAAATTTACATATGAGTAAATCTACACACTAAGTAAAAGTTAATTTGCGATGCGTTCAGACGAGATTTATGTACTGTAAGTAAATCCTTAAATTTTCATATAAAATAAAGAGATCCTCAGAATTGTGGATTTGTATGGAAAAAATGTTATTTTTTACTATTTGGGTATAAAATTAACTTTTTGGAGAACACATCAGGAAACGTAATAATTTGTAGGAAAAATTCACACATGAAAAAAGGAAAATTAATTAAAATCATTGTTTAAATTTGAAAATGCCTTGGCCTCGGTCCTAAAGTCTAGGAAGAGCCGTTGGGTTTTAAGAAAAAGATGGCTGTTCACACAGGTTGCAGAAAAGACACTGGAAAATGGAAACAGTATATGTCATTATTTTACACACACAATTTTTTAAGAATGAAATGGGCAATAAATTTTTTAAAACATTCAAACAAAACAACATGAATAGAAAATAAACACGGATCCCCTAGAAATCCATGGTGGGACCAGTTGCCAAGGATCGAGAATGCTTAAAAATGCTTATTTTCAACAGGGTTGTTGAAATTCCTGTTGCATCAATTTATATGTCTTTACCTGGCCTAAGTTTAAAAACAAAGAAATAAGTAACATATTCAATGTAATGCCTTTTTTATCCCAATGAAGACTATTGAATTGTAAGAAAGTCCTAACCCTGCAGGGCACATGTTTGCGTGACCACAGCTATATCCTTTTAATTTGGAGGCATAAACATAGGTTTGCCAGAAAGGGTGCAAGATGAGCACGTTTTTGCACATTCAAAGAGCTTTATCTTAGAAGACACTGGAGATATATATAGTGTGGATTCTTGTTTTCAGAGTTGAAAAAGCCATTTGTGGAAAGAACTTTGCTAGAACAAGCCGGCGTATCCTTTAAAGCAGTACCCTTATCCAAACTCAAATTACTTTCAGCTGTTGTTGAAGTACTGCAAAGATGACCATGAAAAATCCAGTTTTTTGATGTTTTGCTTTCTAGTCGCCATGCTAACAGACTGATATTATAAACACAACAATGCATAAACAACCGAAACAACACTTAAAATGGAGATTTATGCAATAAACAAAACAAAATACATACATAAGTAAATTTACTGCGCGTTCATACGACAAAATTTACACACATAAACTATTAATTTGCGACAACATGTATGCAAAAGTTAATTTGCACCTAGTCCTGACCAGGTGTAAATTTTACTGTGCAGAATTTACATGTGCAAACTCCAAAAATTGCACATGTGAGCATAGTAAAATGTACTGAGGTATGCAAATCATGTTGTATGAATGGGGTATAAGTATCTTGTCGAGATTAGTCCTGTATCTTCTTTAAATACGCAGAACTTTTCCATAGAATGTCTACAATGTCATCATGCCTTGGAATTTGCAAGTGTTCCTAACCAATGTCTTGTTGAAAATGTACAACGTACAGTCCCAACTACTTGTTCCAAGAAATACAAAAATTATATATAATATATATTGAATGCTAACAAACTTAAATATTTGAATATCTGTAAAAATGACGATTTTTTTAACAGACGAGTCATATCAATTCAAATCAGTTTAATGGCACTTCTATTCAGCAACAAGCAAATAACACCGAGATAAGTTCAAATCATGCACAAGACGTTGTAAACAGGTAAACAAAACAAATTTCTATCAAATCTTGACAGCTATAACAGTAAACATGCTCTTGATTATTTGTTGAAAAACTTTATAAAAGTCTTACCTTTTACAAAAAATGTCCAGTTTGCTTCTGTTTGTAAATACATTACGATAAATAAGGCATTGTTTTAGAAATTTTGATCATATTCAAGTGAATCCGCCATTTCACACGTCCAGGATACACTAAAATTCTCGTCCCTGATTGGACAAAAATATGTTCATTGATGCGTAAAATTTATCAATATGGGTTGGCGGGAAAGTTATATTGACATAATGATAATCTCTTGCTCCTGTTGAAACTAGTTATAAAGTTCTCTAAAATAAAATATAGATAAATATCTGCTTTTATATCATAGAATAGATTCAAATATTACAGTCTGTAAACTATAGTTTACAATCGATAAACCTAGTTTATCGACTGTGAAACTATGTTTATCTCATTTTTGTGAATTTGGCGTGCCATAAAAAACTGCTTCACGTTGTGTTTATCATTCACGTTCATTTATTTGCCAAAAAATAAAATAAAGAAGAATTAAACTAAATAGTAAATAACGATCTAGTTTAAATTCTTTTATTTAATTTTGGCAAATAATTTAACGTGATTAACACAACATGAGCAAGCAGTTTTTACAATTTGGATCTTTTCTATGATATAAAAGACAAAAATAGGAAAAAGTAGACCCGCATAGAAAATTTTATAACGGCGAAAGATATTAAACAGATAAAGACAAGCTGAGTGATATGTCATTTTCCATTAATTAACATGATTAATGGTAAGGGTAAGGGTTAATTACGGTTAGATTTATAGGTTATAATTTTTAATACACATATTTATGTCTTATTTTGCAAAAAAGTGCTACCCCCTCCCTCGATCCGACGCATAACGACACAAACTTGAAATTTAAAAGAGAGAGAGACGCGGGCATTTTAATCTCAAATTGCTAGAAATACACGAAGACCACATTACTTTTTAATAACACAATAAATAATTTTTGTCGTGAAAATTTTCCCCAGATTTTTCGCTTATCAAAATATCCCGAATTTCAAACATGAGAACTTTGAGTACTCTATTATTGCTAAATTCACAATTTATACTGAAACCTGAAGCAAAACTCAAACTTTCTCTCTCTCTCCCACTCGATCTCTCTCTTTCTCATTAATAACAATGTATAAATTCACCAGTAAAAATAAAACAATCAGCAAAAATAATGTTTTTCACATTATCACATGATTTAATTAGAATTTTTCTTTTTATATCTTACATAGAAAAAACTAACGTTTTAATAGCAAAAAGGTTTTATTTATTTATTTATTTATTTATTTATTTATTTATTTATTTATTTATTTATTTATTTATTTATTTATTTATTTATTTATTTATTTATTTATTTATTTTACTTTTTGATTTTATTTTTTAATGTATCATTATTATTTTCCTAATTTTAGATCATTGTCAGTGCCGTAAATTAAATTTTTTTAACACTGAGTTACTCTTTTATCTTCTACAACTTTTGCTTTGCGTGAAAATAATTAATAATCGTGAAGATGTGCGAGGTTATTGTATCTTATATACATACTTAAATCATTTGGTCTTTTTTTAAAAAGCTGCAAACAATTTTCGGGGTAATTAGTGCGAGCGATGAAATACATCGACCTTATCATATGACCAGGAAAGTGACGTCACTAGTTGTTGACATTTTGCTCCGCCATTTTTATGACGATCACCGGGCAAGAAATAATACGTCTGGATGGTTTATTGAAATACAATTTATCCAAGGGTTTCCCAGAGCAGGGTCTGTGGATTTCCACAGAAGATAGGTCATTAATTCTTTAAAGGTAAGCAACTTTGCAAGGAGGCGTTTTCTGTGAAACATGTCGTGGCCTAGTTTTCATTTTGACAACGAATGACAAACACTTGACAAAAGTGTAAATAGATGGTGTTTATGTTTATCATTAGTATAAACATGCATCAATATTATGTAATGGTGACTACATCCACCGTGATTACTTATATCGAAGTGTATATAGTGAATAATAGGCCTAATGGAAATTGTTGTGATGATGCAAAATGCTTCAGCGTTGGATGTGTCACTGGTGATAAAGCATTTTAGTTAAATTATGTATATCTGCACGCTTTTTAGGTTTTGCAAAGGTTGTCTACCTTTGAAAAAAAATACAGGAAGGGTCAAGATCTCAGAATAATATTTTCATTTGATCATATTGCAAAGGGAAAAAAGGTGTTGACAAATAGTGAAACTTCAAAAATGATTCTGCCATGTGTCTACATTGCATGGGTAGCCAGGAAAAGAGTTGAATATCTGTATTCCTACAAATTTTCGTTTTTTAAGAGAATTTTTACTTTGTATGATAGAGGTTACCATGTTACACAGTGTCTATTCTAAAGTATCTCGCTGTGAACCTCTAGCATGCTGAGGTAAATAGTATCTGGAAGAATGCATATAAACACATCTTTATACAAAGCAGTTGACAAGGTCTTCAGTATAAAGCATATAAAATGCTAAAACAATTTTTTTCGAGACAGACATAAATGTTCATAGAAGTGTTTTTTAGTTTGTCTATAATATGTGTAGTCTGTATTTAGTATGTTTATCTTAGTTGTTTACCTGTAAAAAAACTTTTATGTTATGCTGCTCAATGAAAATTTCGGATACATGACTTTGACGATGTTGTCAATGAATATATTCAGGTGATTGTTGCTCTAAAATCTACTCTTGATAAGTAGTTTTATGTATGTAGCATGTATACCTTACTAGTTTATCATGTTTATATCAATAAACCAACTCTAAAATCTGTAATCAACAAATAAATCAGATATCTAAGTTGATTTAGATTATATGAATTTTTAAGACATTTGCACCAAAGGTATGGAATTAAGTTGAACACTTTGTTCCAGTGGTTTTACAATCAAAATTGATTAAGTAATGTAATACTATGGTATTTCCTCATTCATGATATTAAATGATATTTGCTAGGTAATGATAGTGTCCACGGATGAGATGATAATTTGATAGGCCTGCTGAAAAAGTTCATTGTAAGGTGAATCATAATAGTCAACAGTGTTCTGGTGGATTTTACTTAGTTTACTCACATGTGTTTGTATCACATTTTATTTTATTTATAGAAAAAAAAAACTTACCTCAACACATTGCAATTTATCATATGTTGTATATATTTTCTTTTTGAAATCAGTCTGAGACATTCTAATTTAAGCTTTACAAAAGCCAAAGCTAACCAAAGGAAAGAAAATTTCAAAAACCATGACTCTTTTTTGCATTGAGTACCCCTGACCTTGAATCTATTATCAGCAGCATATCTCATTATCTGTTGATGATGAAAACATGCATATTTTAACTTAAAGATTTCTAACCCGCATTTTTTATAATTTCCAAAATAGTCAATTTGGCCAGTGACTGGTCCTTAGGGAAAACACCTGCAGAGTTGAATTTCATCAGAAGTTGGAATGTTCTGAAATTGATGTACCCAGACCAGTATTTGTATTTTAGGGAATAGCAGTTGATATTCGTGTAATTGATGAAGTAGTGTTTGAATAGGTTGAGCAGTCAAACTTTTTACATGTTAGGAGATTTTCAGACATGCAAAAATTTAATACATCTGGTCTGTTAGGATTTTAAGAATAAAATCATACCAGAGCATCTAAAAATGACAGCACATATGTCAGATGCATGTTTCCATTGCATTAATTTGGGCAACATTGTGGATGAAGATTGAAGAATGTTATAAAATGCACTAAGCTGTTTGAATTTAGGGGGAGAAAGAAAAAGGCAAAGTGCTAAATCGGGTTGTATGCATATGATATGCCTCGTGTTAAATGTGTTAGTCTCGAATAAGCTTTGTCAGCATTTCCTTTTATACAGAAAACACATATTGTGTATTTCTGGTCAACAAAACTGTGTCCTAGTTAGACACAAGTACTTGAAAAATGAGTAAGAGTAATGTTTGTTAGTAAGCAACACAGTGTCATACAGTTTGACAATCTGTTCGGCAAAATGAAAGTAGTATAGGTGTCATGGGATTTCTGACTCTTATCATGTACATTATAAATGCATAGTTATATAGATATTATATTATAGATTTTAAACTTCCCTGATAGAGAACAGAACACTTATTGGAAAACCCTCTTGCCATCCTTTTATAGTTACATTTTCTGATACAGAGGAAAATATCTTATTGATTGGTATAAATATGCTTGAGTGGTAAGAGATTGTGATCTTGCAACTGATGGTAAAATAAAAATTCAACCACATTTTATGAAATTGTATTTCTAATAATTATACCTTTGATTGCTCAATACTGTTTAAAATTCTTTTCCTTAAAAAAAATCCAAAGATTTTTTGTGCTGTTTTTTGTTTACTGGAATGAACATGAATGGAATTGGTTTATATACAGTATATATGTTCTAGAATATACGCTTCTGGAATTTAATTTAGTACACTTAAACAATATTACAGACAATAGGTATATTTAAAGTACATTTAATATATTTATCTAATCTTGCCAAGGTTATTATCAGACAAGTGTGCTTTGCGCCTCAATACATGTATATTGTAGTGTTATTTTGATTTTTCCTGCAACAGCTTATCTGCCCAAAAAAGGAACATAATTATCATTTGTCAGCAAATGCAAACATTGAATTTCGGTCAACACTGCTTATTCGGCCTTGGAGAACTTGTCTAGATATATCTTTATGTGCAGACGTTACGTTTAGATATTGATTTACCTAGTGACTATGAATGAAGTTCAGCAAGGAGTAAAGGATTTAAACATGGTAAATGACACGTAGAAATAGTGCTGTATCGACAAAATCTTTGGGTTCGGTTTCTCACCTCCTCATACATGTAATTATACTATTGAATTGTGGAAAATTTCAAAATAGGCAACCATATTGTTTAAGGTTTATATTTATAAGACTGGAGTCGTAAAGAAATTTTAAGTTCATACTAGGTTTGACTTTGGTACAAATGATGATTCTTGTTTGGATAAGAAGAATAAGTTCAACAATTGACATATTACTTGTAAAGAACTGTTTTATTGCTTTATAGGAAGAACAGATACACAAGAAATTAGTAGAGTCCAAAAGAGAAGATCTTGGATAGTGATTGTGTTTGATTGGACGGTGCCATCAGCAATATATATGCCAAATGCATCTTAAAATGGTGAGTAATACATCTATTCTTCTTCACGTAAGTTAAAAAAGAAAAAGAAATTGTTGTAGACTAGATTTAATAGCAGGACATATTTCTGACGCATTTTCATTATCAGTACTAAGTTAGAGAACAACTTGAAAACCTATTCTAGACCACTGTTGTGACTGCCTACTACCTTCTGTCATAAATACACACTTATTTGTGTCAATAAAATACTTCATAGCTATCTGTCTTCTTGTTAATAGTAGTAACAGGTGTCTGCATTTACATACAGTTTATTAACATCAGTCATAGTAGGTGTTTAGATGTCTTTATAATTAAGAAAACATAATTTTATTAATGAAAGGAGATTTTCAAGCACATCATCATGGATTGCATGAATTACAAAAAAAAAATTACATGGTAATCATGTAAAGAGATTGACATAACTTCACTTTCTCTCTGTACAGGCATATGCTGATGAACCGACTAGTCTGGAGTGCATCAACAAGTCGGACTTGTTCCCCAAAAAGAAGCTGGTACGGGAGGATGACTCCCTACAGGTCCCCACCCCCCTCCTTCCTGGAGAAGCCGCAGAGTTCCTGGGGAAAACAACCGACGGGGTTATTGTCCTCTCCAATTATCGGCTGCTAATAACTTTCAAGGCGTCGTTTGTCAATGTTCCAATCGGAATGATTGATTCAGTGGAGAGGACAGACATCTTTTTCCTGAACATCTACTGTAAAGACGCTACAGTGGCAAGGTTAGGCATATCAAGATCTATTATAAATTAAGATTAGTAGTAAGATACATTTCACTGGTAGGCAGGCTTACATTTAATCAATGTTGCAAAGACAAAGATGTTACTTTATTCTCACATTCTCAAAGTGTTGAAATTTAAAGTCTGATTTATATTGTGAAGAATAAGTCAATATGTATAAACATGAAAAGGATTGAATTGAAAACATTTAAGGGAAATCTGGCTAATTTCGTGGTATGTATTTAGATAATACACACTCATCTCCATTGAAAGTAAACAAACATCCTGGGTAAATACAGCATTTAATATTTATCTATACATGAAATAAGGAAACACTTGACATTGTCTAGCCTGTTATGGATAGGCATATAAAGAGAAAAACCTTTGTAGCTTATCTTATGGATATTTAATATTGTAGTTTCAATTTCTTTTTGAAGTGTCCCAAAGTAGAAAAATGTCATCCATTGACAATAGAGAAAGATTACGTAATTTTAGGTGAAAAAAGTTATCATTGGGGCTGAGTCATTGTAGTCGTACATACTTTATATAGAAGTGTAAGGAGTAAACTGATCGATAGGATGATGTAATGTCTTGTCAGCAGTGTCTAACTTAGACAGGGGACAGTGTGGGTATATTGTGCTGAGGGCAACAGATGGTCTGCTAGATCGGGAAAGATAAGCTTATGTATATAATGACAAAACATGGACTAGTTTCTTTATTTTACAGCTGTTAAGCAGAAAGAAAAGTTTTATGTGGCTTTGATTTAAGGGTCATTAGGTTTTGAGTGCCTTAGACAATACATGTACATATATAGTCCTTCAACCTTGTTCTTGCTATAATAATTAGCAAAATGAAGTGTCATCAAGATATACCTACAGGCTTTCATAGACAAATTTTTCCAGAACATTATTTTCCAAGTCATGCATGCCTAATGCCTAGTCAGTGTTTTTTTGCTATTCATCATTTTTATAAGATACATGTAGGGTTTATACTGTATAAGGGATAGTGCCCCCAGAGTGATTGTTGTACTGAGGAGAAATCAATATGTCTGTCTGCACAGTCTTATGTACTAACTATAAAACTGCCATGTAATCCAAATTGATTCTTGCCTTAAATGGAAAACTAGATTGTATTAAGTTTAGCAGAAGATAGATTTAAAAAAAAAAAAACAACTGATCATATTTCATGGATATTAATGGGTTTCAAAGGTTATGTTCTAAAGGGAAATAAATGTGCTGACACACCTTTTAATTTTATTAGAAAATTATCCCACCTCTTATCAGGTTTCTTTCTCATCTGCTATAACTCTATTTAAAAGAAATTTTTGTGCCATTTTTGATTTTGATTCAAATGTTTTATTATGTGTATGTAATTATTGTATTTACTTATCTAAATAAGGAAATAGCATAATAGAACTCGTGTCCTACCAACCAAAGTATAAGTATAAGGATGTTTTCTTCTTCTATTATCATAATATATAGATGGGAGTACAATTATCAGTTGGAATTACTTAATCTAAATAAGGAAATGAAACTCTTGCCCTATCAAAGTTTATGTATATATCAAGGATGTTTTGAACACTTCTTCTAACATATAATTGATCCCAACAATATATAATAATATATACACAATGCACTAATTCAGAAGAACAATTATTGATCAAATGTTATTAACTTCAAGGTGTTAAAACTACATATCGATGTCTTTTATTGGCTGTAGCATACTGGTATATATTTTACATGTCAAACAAATAGAAAATAGACATTTTTGTTTTAAAACATATTAAAATAAATACAACTTACATATATATGCTGAAATTAAAAATTCGATAATTATGTATGTGTGTCAAATATAATCATGCACTCTTACTGACAGTAAAGTTACTTATGAAAGGGACTACAAATTATAGGTCTAATGGTATGCATACTGATGCAATAATATTCCTGGATATGTTGATGCACCAATAACTACAGCCTTTCATATAGTATGAAAAATTGGAAAAATAAGTATTATATTTCACCTATAAGTAATCTGTAGGTTTATTTAACAAAATGCAATTGTAGAAGTGATACATTTTCATAAAATTTTTCTTAGTATTACAAAATTTCTTAGTATTACAAAATTCCATGATTATGGTGAAATGTATGTGGGAGTTCTTAAAGAAATTAAATTTGATCTTGACATTTATTATACCATAATTTCCTCTCCTTTTTTCATATTTTTGTTTTGCTAAATTAAATAATAAATCTTGATATTTAGCTCACCTCAACGAAGTTGGGGGAGCTTATGTAATACCCACGGCGTCGGCATCCCAGGTTAAGGTTAAGTTTTTTGGAGCAGTTTTCTTTTTAAGTACTTCTGTGTCCTATATTAATTAGACATGCATGGAAGATGCTTCTAGTGTGTTTCATTGTACCAGTCAAGATTCAGATGCTGCAATTTCAGCAAAGGAATGGCCAGGTTAATGTTTTTGGAGAAAGTCAACATTTTTGGTGCAGTTTTTGGTGTAGGTGTCATTTCCAAGGAACTATAAGCCCTATGTTGACCAAACTTACATGGATGATACATCTAAGGTTGTACACTACCAGGCTTGCTTCGGATGCTGAATCTGACTTACATTTTCCAGTTGAGTGAACAGGTTAATGTTTTTGGTGCAGGTCTCATTTCCAAGTAACTATAAGCCCTATGTTGACTTATATGGATGATACATCTAAGGATGTACACTACCAGACTTGCTTCGGATGCTGAATCTGACCTACATTTTCCGGTTGAGTGAACAGGTTAATGTTTTTTAATTTCCAAGTAACTATAAGCCCTATGTTGACCAAACTTACACAGATGATACATCTAAGGATGTACACTCTCTCTGCTGAATCTTACACCGGTTGAGTGAACAGGTTAATGTTTTTGGTGCAGGTCTCTCTCATTACCAAGTTAACTATAAGACCTATGTTGACCAAACTTGCATGGATGATACATAAGGATGCACCTTACCAGGCTTGCTTCAGATGCTGAATCTGACCTACATTTTCCAGTTGAGTGAACAGGTTAAAGTTTTTGGTGCAGGTTTCATTTCCAAGATACTATGAGCCCTATAATGACCAAACTTGCATGGATGGTATATCTTAGGATGCATACTACTAAACTTGCTTCGGATGCTGAATCTGACATGCATTTTCTGGATGAGCAGCTCTGAACATGCAAAAAAGTTTTTCCCAAAAGAAAGGTGTAAATTTCCCAATTTCCATAGCAAAATATGAATTAAAAAATAAAAGTCCATGAAACTTAATCGCAAAAAAAAACAAACAACAAACAACATGTTTGCAAATGAAAGTGAAACCGTACTACTATTTTATTAGTTTGCGCCAAATGCATAATGACCAAACAAAAATGTGTACTTACATGGATGATGCACATCTTCAAAAAGAGACATTTCATTTCAACATATGTGACCGCTGCACTCGGGGAGGGTGGCAAGGGTCCACTTGGTAAACAAAGTAGTGATCGAGAGCACCCTACTGCACCCACGTGCACACCTGGCCTCAACACTGGGTCACGCAGTAACCAAGAGACATGGTTACTGTCCTTGACATGGATTTGTCAAGGAGTAACACATAAGATAAATTGTCTTTACAGTCTTTATTAAAGGAATAATTTGTACATTATTTACAATCCAAGACTGGGTCTGCCAGCTGCTTGCTCTAGCCCTAGCTCCTAACTCTCTTACTGCTAAACTACCAGATTATCTCTTTTCTTTGTTTGATAAAAAATCTAATCTTAGCCTTAAGGTAAATTGAGTGATTATTTGATTTACTCAAGATTCTTTGACATCTGTACAATAGATTTATATGGCCAGGTAAAGTGTTAATTACTGTGACACCTATACTGTCTTCAGGGTCACAAAAGATAATTGCACAGGGGATTAACTAAATTGACTTCAAAGACTAGATAAACAATGTACTAGATGTAGTATTTACAAGCCATCTGCTTAACTTAAAGCTATAAGGAAATTTGTATCAATTAAATGCTACAATGAATAAAATAGAAAACTGTAGTTTAAATAGAAATCTAAATATTGTAATATTCAAAAATATCAAATATAAATTACGTAAGACCCCTAACTCTCTGGTTAGTGGCTATACATACTACAAGACTTGCTTCGGATGCTGAATCTGCAGGGTTCTCCACATTTGAAAATTTCATAAAACTTCATGCACGTATCGATAAAGAAATTTTTATGTTTCACTATTCTATAACCCTGGATGGGGCGTTTATGACCTATGGAAGTACTTCTAGTTAAATTTGGTTTAAATGTAGTTTATATTACATGTATATTCTCTTTTTTTTAGGGTAACTAGATTGAACATTCTTTCAAATTTTCAGGTGTGGCTTCAGTGACAATGATGCTTGTCAGGCCTGGTTTCTGCGGATCTCTGCTAAATTGAACGCTCCCAAACAGCTCAATGAGTTTTTTGCCTTCACTTTTCACGCTTGGTGCCAAGACCGTAACCCTGGATCAACAGAACCAGAAAACTGCTTTCAGCTGTGCCAAAAAGGTAGATAAAGTTGACAAGTCCTTTGTGGATGAAGAAAAATTCAGTGTGAAATAGTCTATGAAAAACAGATATGTTATGAAAAGGTCCAATTTCATATCCTTAGAATTCCAATGTTCTTTAACATGTTTAAATAGATATTCTTTTGTTGGTAATTTGTTTGGATTTATACTTGCATGTTGAATTAAGTTGTAGTTTTTTGGGGGAAAAAAGTTGTGGTGGCTAGAAGAATAAAAACATTCCATTGTGTTTCTCACTATTTAGGCCATTTTGTTGTAAGAGAGGTAGAAGTCATAAGAACAGCATATTTGAAACAGTTGCTTATTACCAAGTAATACGACAAGATCATTTGGAAAATTATCATATTGAATAATGTCTTACAGCCTCCTAAAATCATTGAATTTCAGCATCATTGTTAAATTTCTATAAACCCTATCTTAACTATATACATGCAAGGGTGAGGCATCTATAGTAATACACCAGCAATCTTGCTTTAGATGTACATTTTCCAGAAAATTGAACAGGTAAATTTATGACCCTGGCCCTAGTAGTGTTAGAACCTTGCAGGGAGTGAAAAACATCATTCATGTGCTGTTTGTTTTTGTTCTGGCAGTTTAAGCAGGTTGTGTTGACCTCAATATGCATGCAATTGACTGATGTGTAGTAAGTTGTGGAATAATTTTGTCACTCTAGTTTACCTGTCGGGGTTGTATTGGCATTCATTCTCTGTAAACAAATGGGCAGTTTGTCATAAATTTTATCTTATCTTTTATATGCACTCTTAAGCTCTAACTTGTTACATAGTATTTTAAAGTGCTATATTTGCAAACTGACTTCTGCACAATTTATAATCCATAAAACGTGAATTCTACTGAATGCATAATATAAGATTAACCTTGTGTTACTTGAGTTGAAGGAAAATATGAATTTGTTATTATTATGTATAACAAGTAAAACAAAAAGATTTGTGTTAAATATTAAAATTTGGGGAATAAAAAATTAATTTGCCCATGATACAAGAAAATTAAATGATATAAATATCTATAAATGGTATTGCATTTTCTTTACAGATGAGAGCTGCACATACAGCTTTGGGAAGGAGGTAGAGAGACAGAAATTTGATTTAAAGAGTGGTAAAGCTTGGAGAATCACTTACATCAATGAAGACTTTAAGTATGTGGAATGATGAACTGCATGTCAAAGAAACTAAAATTCCTTGCACTGTCACTGTTAAAGGTGATCAGTGACGTAAATAAAGATGACCTCTCTTGGCTTTATTTGGTTACATATCTTTCAAACAATCCATTAACGTGCAATTTTATCTTTTTTTCATGATTCAGAACACTAGACATATTAAATTACCTGTAAATCAAAATGCATTTTTTTTATTTTGGGACATTGTAACATATTAAATTCTTAATTCTATGCATTATTTTGAGAGTGCACTATATTTATTTTCATTATATGAAAAATGTATATTGTAAAGTGAACATTATTTTTTATGCCAGTACTTCCAAACTTGATGAATGTACAAAATATATCTTAGTGGCTGATTTTGAAATGTCCTTAAATTTAACCCAGCTAGACATTAAATAATTCTGCCTAATTCTTCTACAGTCTCTGTCCAACATACCCTAAGAATCACATTGTGCCAGCCAGTATCACAGATGAAGACATCAAAAGTTCAGCTGGGTTCCGTGCTCTGAAACGGTTTCCTTCTGTAGTATGGAGGTAAAAAAAAATTAAGATTGGAAAAGGAAGCTATGAAATATTTTAAAGAGTTGGGAAAATCCGAAAAGAAAAATAATAATAATCTGAGCATTCTGTTCAAAACAGATAAAAATATGTGAAATGTTTACAGAAACCAAAGAAATGGTGCAGTCCTTGTAAGATGTAGCCAGCCAGAGATAGGATTCTTTAATTGGAGAAACACACAGGATGAGAACCTGATGAAAGCTTACATTGATGCTTGTCAACAGAATCCAGGGAAGAGTCAGAAGAAACTGCCTGTCAGTGAGGATTCCAGTGGCTCAGAATCTGGGTCACAGAGTGGGGGTAAGGATTATACATTCATTAATTTATCTCGTATATGTCACTGTTAATGATTTGAATGTCAGTTGTTTTGGGTAATTTCAGACTAAAATGTTTCATTAATACGACATTTATGATATATATATTTTTCTGTGTTTAGATGACCTAGATGAAGCAGATAAGAAAGTTGTGATCATTGACTGTAGATCTTATCGAGCATCCATGGCAAACAGACTGAAAGGGGGAGGAGTAGAGTGTGTAGGTTAGTGAACAAAATCTATAAAGTTTTACATCTTAGACTGGTAGCCTGTGGAGGCTAAGCTACTTGTTCATTTTGTAGAATATTTCCTTAATGCCATATATTACTTTTATTTAGAGTATTACACATCCTGTGAGATCCAGTTCATGAATCTGGACAACATCCATGCCATAAGAAAAGCATTCACACAGTTACGACAACACTGCAGTACAGCTTCTGATCAGCTCAAGTAAGCTTTCATTTAACATGTTTGAATAGAAATGAAGATAAATCTCAAAGGGAATTGTCATGATTGTTGATTGTGTATCTTTATGTAATTCTTTAACGTCCTTTTGTAGCTGGCTGTCTGGATTGGAGGGAACAAAGTGGATGACGTACCTGTCTAACCTGTTGAGGACGGCCAGTCTGGTGGTGAATGTGATGAGTAAGGAGGGCAGGTCGGTGGTGGTCCATTGCTCAGACGGCTGGGACAGAACTTCTCAGATTGTGGCTCTAGCAGAGCTGATGATGGATCCTTATTACAGAACAATTGAGGTACATCCAATATAAAATGTCTTTTCACCCTTGTAAAAGATTAAAGGCAAGGGTACTTTGTGTAATATTTTTTATCATTTGAATTTTTTATATTTTGCTGGTTTAAAAATTGATATTTTATGCTCATTGTGTTACTTGAGTAGACTTTAAAGGGGCTGTGTTTTTAAAATTTTTGTTGATTATTTTGCAGGGCTTTCAAGTACTGGTGGAGAGGGAGTGGTTAGAATTTGGCCACAAGTTTGGAGACAGATGTGGTAATGGTGTAAACTGTGAAGATCCTAATGAGCGGTCACCAGTTTTCCTGCAATGGCTTGACTGTGTATATCAGCTTTACAAACAGTTCCCTTGTGCATTCCAGTTCAATGAAGCATATCTGGTAATTGATACACAGAGATCTGATACATCCTCATGCTTTTTGATGAAGAATATATGGAAACTTAAATTCTGATCCATAGTGATTATCCAAGTGTGCAAGGCCTGAAATAAAAATACAGTTCAGTTTTTTGTTTAGCATAAAAAAACATTCTTTATAAAATTATAACTCTTTTTTTGAAATAGATTAAATTGGTTCAGCATACCTATTCCCACTTGTTTGGCACATTCTTGTGTAACACAGTCCAGGACAGATTGAAAGGAGAATTGTCAGTACAGACTTCCTCTGTGTGGTCCCTTCTTCATCCCAGTAACACCCACTTCTACAATCACCTGTACAGACCTAATGTAGATCAACAGGTAAGTGGTCTCTTCTTCATCCCAGTAACACCCACTTCTACAATCACCTGTATAGACCTAATGTAGATCAACAGGTAAGTGGTCTCTTCTTCATCCCAGTAACACCCACTTCTACAATCACCTGTACAGACCTAATGTAGATCAACAGGTAAGTGGTCTCTTCTTCATCCCAGTAACACCCACTTCTACAATCACCTGTATAGACCTAATGTAGATCAACAGGTAAGTGGTCTCTTCTTCATCCCAGTAACACCCACTTCTACAATCACCTGTACAGACCTAATGTAGATCAACAGGTAAGTGGTCTCTTCTTCATCCCAGTAACACTCACTTCTACAATCACCTGTATAGACCTAATGTAGATCAACAGGTAAGTGGTCTCTTCTTCATCCCAGTAACACCCACTTCTACAATCACCTGTACAGACCTAATGTAGATCAACAGGTAAGTGGTCCCTTCTTCATCCCAGTAACACTCACTTCTACAATCACCTGTACAGACCTAATGTAGATCAACAGGTAAGTGGTCCCTTCTTCATCCCAGTAACACTCACTTCTACAATCACCTGTACAGACCTAATGTAGATCAACAGGTAAGTGGTCCCTTCTTCATCCCAGTAACACCCACTTCTACAATCACTTGTATAGACCTAATGTAGATCAACAGGTAAGTGGTCTCTTCTTCATCCCAGTAACACTCACTTCTACAATCACCTGTATAGACCTAATGTAGATCAACAGGTAAGTGGTCTCTTCTTCATCCCAGTAACACCCACTTCTACAATCACTTGTATAGACCTAATGTAGATCAACAGGTAAGTGGTCTCTTCTTCATCCCAGTAACACCCACTTCTACAATCACTTGTATAGACCTAATGTAGATCAACAGGTAAGTGGTCTCTTCTTCATCCCAGTAACACCCACTTCTACAATCACCTGTATAGACCTAATGTAGATCAACAGGTAAGTGGTCTCTTCTTCATCCCAGTAACACCCACTTCTACAATCACCTGTACAGACCTAATGTAGATCAACAGGTAGGAAAGAAAATTGTATTGCATAATATATTCACCAATGACTGAATGAATGTTGTATTCTTATTTTAAGTAGTTAAACAATATGCTGTTACATATATAAGTGAAATCTAATGCTTATTGTTAATGAAATAATTGATAGATATCTTGTCATGAAACATTTTTAAGAAAGAAAAGAATATCATAGGTACAAAAAATCTAATCCAATTGTTTTAATGTTTATGAATCAATCGATAAAAAAGATAGGTCTGTTGTTTGCCAAACATAATGCTAACACATAAACTTAGCCACTTAATGAAGACATCTGGCAATATTTTTCAGGTGTTGAGGCCAAAATTTGATGTACGAGGTTTGGCTTTGTGGACATCAGTTTACTTTTCCAATTACTCATGTTCAACTGACCTCAAAGACTTGGGATGTGATCAGCCAGAGATACAGCAGGAGACGACTTGTGGTAACTTACAGAAAACACGGTCCTGTGAGAATCTGGCAGGCTCAACACAGGAAGCCATCAGTAGTCCCAGTCGACGCAAGAGTGACCCCAGCATTACGTTAGATAACTTTGACCCTTCTCTTCTGACAAAAGACTGTGATAAAACTTCTAGCAATACTTGTGTTTCCAATGGAACTGTTGTGTCAGAGGATAGCCATATTGATAGTGAAAAGGACAGTAAAACATTGATTGATAATGGTCAGAATGGAGACATTTCTGTGAACGGATTAGTTACTAATGGATTAAATGGCCACTGTAGTGATTTAGAAGAAAATTTAACAAATGGAAAGAATGAAAATCATAGGGAAAATGGTGCAGAAAGTCCAGAAGAAAATGGTTTGGTGAGTGAACAGTGTAATGGAAATTCTCGCTTTCATCAGGAGGTAGATGTTCCATCAACAAGTCAAAATATCGAATGTTCAACAGACACCCTTACTGACACTGAGGGCAAACCTAGTGAAAAATGTGAACTTCAAATAAATGGTTCAAAACTGGAACCCAAATTAAGCCTGGAACAAATAAAAACACTAGAAAAGAGTGCGAGTATCAGCACCAGCACTAGTGACATATCCAATTCTAGTGTGGATTTGAAACTTCCAGTGGACAATGTGTACAGTATTCATCGCTATCTTTATCGATCAACACCTCTTAGACTGAGCTGCAATTCCAATGGATCAATCCAGTCCAGAAGTACATACAAGACTTCTCCTACCACGCCAGCAAATTCACGGAGTTCTACTTGCCCTCCAACACCAGCTACTGACAAGGTTAGATTTCTTTAAAAAAACTAAGGTTGAAACAAATTTGAACACTTGGAAAGAAAACAAGGAACCAGTTTTAGACTCAGTACTTAATAGTGAATATATTGAGTATAGTGCTGAATTTTTTTTTGAAAATTCCCCAAGGCCTATTTAATAGCATGATGATTACTAAAAAAATAGCGTTCATCACAATAACATTAGACATTGTTAGAACAGAAAAATTGTGAACATGTATCACGATGCCAATAGCACTGCATCACTCAAAATTCCATTTATTTTTTTGTTACTTTTTGATTTTAAATTGTAAAAAGAAAAGTTTGAAATGTGTTTACAAGAAATTACTTCTTTTATATTATGAGCAGAATGTAGCTGTAAAAATCACCCAATAAAAAAATGTAGCATATTCAAATTTAATGCTTATTTTGCAGTCCATTGATTCCCAGTTTGGTAACAAAATGGGGCGTCTTAGTCGACATTTAGATGCAGATGGACTCACGACTTTTAGTGATCCAGTCCAGCAAGGCATCCAGAAAATAAAGGAAGATTATGAACGAGAAATTCAGATGATCCGATCTCACCTGGCTGCGGCCAATGCAGCTCTTCTTCAGCACGCATCTGCTTGCAGTGGGGGAGTTAGATGCATTTTAGATAAAGAAGAAATGGTAATTTACAGTGATACACATCTTAAATTTGTAAGAAATATGTATTCAATAAATAAGACATCCTAAACACTTCAAGTTAAACTGCTTACCAAATGATAATTTACATAGAATATCACTGGATAGACATGCAAGTGAAGGGTTCTACTTCTACTTCTACCAGTAAATGGCCTCCGTCAATTAGTTGACTATTACGCCACCAGGTGTGCGCATGTTTAAAAAAGATTTTTAAAAAATGTAACAATTGTGACTGTCTATTTACAAGTGAGTTTAAAAAAGAATTATTTGACTGGTGACCTATCGACAGAGATGAGCCTTGAAACAGTCAAGGCTCGGAGCCATCACGGTAGAGGTGGGTAGGGCATTCCACTCCTGGGGGGGGGGGGGGTAGAATGATTCCTTCCTCACTGATTAATGTTAATCATTAATATGTGTGCTCTTATCAGTTCATCACTCTAAATGTATTAGTAATTTATGTCATTGGAACACTTGAGTCTAGATAGATGATATCAGTTGATTATACATGTATTTGTTATAAAAGATTTGTCAGGGGATAGATATCACACCTACATGTATGTCTTTAATTTTGAGAAATTCAGAGCATGTTTCAAATTTTTGCAGCTTCTCTCGCCAGACGTGAATGGGGATTTTAACTCTTTAGGAAGTAATGCGGCATCAGATGTCAGCTGGGAAAACATTGACGAGAGCGAGTCCAAGATGATTCGCTGGGTGCCAGATCACGCTGTCACTCACTGTGCTGAGTGTGAGGCTGGCTTCAGCTTACTAGTCAGAAAACATCACTGCAGGTGTGTTCTCCACTGATCACTGTTTTCATATATATGAAGTGAATTGAGTTGTTCTAATACTAGTTGTAATAATCATGTAAATGGTTACAGGATTTTACATTGCAGTTGACATGAATTTGATGAAGTAAGATTAACTGAATTGTTAAAGATGAATGCAAACTTACCTGATTTGCTTTAATAAATTTATCAATTGTTGAATTGTTATGGATCATGTTTTATGTTTGTGTGTTTGAATGCCTGAATTAAGAGACTGAAAACCACATAGCATTGTTAAGTATTAACACCAAAAATCCAAATTTTAAGAGCAATACCTTTTCTGTATGCTTAAAGCATTTAAATGTCAAGTAGTCTTTGGAATAAAGACAATATTTGATACATGTTACATCTTTTTAGGAACTGTGGAAATATCTTCTGTGGGAATTGTTCCGAGAACTTCATCACAATCCCTCAACAGAATTTGATGACACCAGAACGAGTGTGTAATCGCTGCTTCAGTCACCATCAGATGATGTCAAAACATGCATGGACGGCCAACGGAGTCGTGGATGAACGACCTCTGGCTTATGCGGCTTCAAACTAGGGCTTCTACATTTGTTTTCTGTTAAATGTGTGCATAAATGTATGGTGAAAATTGTTATGTCAAACATACATGTTTTCTCTTGCTGAATGAATTCTTTGTTATTTAATGCTAATTATGTGAGACTGATTTTCTGTACATTTGTCTTTGTTTATAGGTCATGATTCTTTTTCATTTGTCAATCTTTTTCCATTCTGTATTTTCTTACCATTCTCTGTCATCAATAAACTATTTTGGTACAGATTTTTGTATGTAAATGGAAAAATTGTCTATAACGAACAACAAACTATAAAAAAAAAATGACATACAAGACCCATAAGTTACCCTTAAAGCTTTTATAATTTGGTGTATTTAACAAACACATGGCCCAGTATTGCTGAGAAAAAATTAAGGGAGAATATTTGATTTGAACTTTGTTTTGATTGATTAAAGCTCAGAAATGATCTCAAGTACTGTTGATTTCTGTTAATTATAAATACTCATGTGGAAAAGCAAGCTTGTGATGGTTAGTTGTTAAGTTCTGATGTACATGGATTCGAGATGTATAAATATGTGCAGTACACACTGAAAAAGAAAGCACTTACATATATAGAGAAAGTAAAACTGTTTGTCACATTCTATTATTTACAGGTTTGTATTTTGAACTAAACTTTTTCAAAAAAAGTAGATATTAAGAAATTAGGGATAAATAAAAATGAGTTCATTTACATGTATTTGGGTATGATAACCAAGAATCAAGAATTCAAGTGCAATTATAAAACTTCTAAACACTTAATAAACAGTAAATGGCCCAGTGTTCCTCTTCATTCTTGAATTGTTTGACACCATTATACCAAAAGGATCTTTCTACCCTTCAGATATAATCATATATAATAGATTTTTCTGCTTTTGTGTACATATGTTCATATTTTTTTGAATATTTTTTGTTTGGTTGATAGTGCTACATTTCATTTCATGACACCATTAAGATGTGGATTAGGTCATCTGTTACATTTTGTCACATTTTATTTCATTATGGCGGGAATGTGATTCTCATTGTGAAATTTAGGAACAATTTCCTGACGATAATTCCAAAGATCTACAAAATTTTATGATAGGGCTTTGAAGAAGGATTTATACCTGTTAGTAGTAGGTAGAATTTGGTTTTGTAACATGACATTCAGTGGTCATCTATCTCTCAATATAAATAGAGATACTAAATTAAAAATATTTTTAATTTTCGAACAACAAAATTTGAAAACAATGACATTTTCCCATAAATTAAGATAAATTTGGAAAAACGAAAGAATATCTGCAGAAATATTGAAAATGGTGAGATTTACATGTACATTTAAGTTTAGACCCTGGATTTTCTGTATTAATGTCTGGTTGAGACCAAATAAATAGATGCCATTTTTATTGTTGAAGTTTAGAGGAGTTCATTTCATCAAGTATTATGTACATGTAAAGGAATAAATGTACTGTTAATTTAGATATTATTAAATAATTATTTTTTCTACATTGAATTGTTATTATAACTATACAGTTATATTGTTAAAAGTCATTTTTTCATGTTTTTGTTCATTTATTTTTCAGTAAAGTAACTTAAAATTTAATCTTTAAAAATCCCTTTAAATACATATACTTCTCGTGTCACTTTGTAATTATAACAAATTTACATTTTAAACAATAGAAATGAAATGTGTCATTTTAAAAGTAAAAGAATGCATATTTTGTGTACATTAGGTAATAATGTTTCCGCTGTAAACATGTGCATGTATTGTACTAGGGCTGCTCAAAGTGTAAAAGAAAATGATAAGGATCAGGTCATAAATCGAAGTATTTATAACACCTCTGATATAATTTGAATATGTATATATACCTGTACATGTATTTCATGAAAAGGATTCATAAAATATTTGTATATTTTGGTATAATCGCATGTTCTTGAGAAAATTCATTATGTTTTATGGAAATTAATGTAAATTACTACTGAAAAAGATTTGGAGAAAGATTATTTTTAATTTGTAAAATGCACTCTGTAACATTTTGCTTTCACACATTTTCTGATCTTTTTTGGTGCTTGATTTGCTAAAGACTCTTTTCAAAGCTATGTATGATCTTCTCAGTTGTATGTTCTGCGTAAAGCAAACTGTCATAAAACATTTAAAGGGAAAAATATTGTTCGTTTTATTAAAGGAAAGGAATGGCTTCCTTTGTCAAAATATCATAGCCCTGTTGTAGAGTCGTCTGCTTTGTGCAATGGTTAGAGCGTCTGCTCTAGAGTTGTGAGGTAAGGAGTTGATCCTTATGTCATTGGTTCGAATCCCACTATTGGACATGGAGACTGGTCTTTGGATGAGACCTTATAAACCAAGGTTCCATGTCCCAGAAGGTGTTTGCAAAAAAGATCTCTCACTGTTCAATGGCCCTGAGTGCCGTGAATAGGACAAAATTTGAAGCACCGGCAAGTGGTGGCGTCTCCATATTAGTGAAAATAATCTGGAGAGAGACGTTCACAACAAACAAACAAAAATCACCTTTTTTACAGGACGTTGGGCTTGGCTTGTTTTGGCAGTCATAATTATACAGAATGACTTCTGTTGATTGCTGTGCCTGATATATGAAACAATGCAAAAACACTCAAAGGTTCCTGATGCCTGTTGAATACTCAGCTTTGAAACCAGTTCGTACCAATTTTGGGGTGCAGCATATGTGGATGAAGGGAAACAGTGTCTCTCCCCCTATGACCAAAAGGAAGCTGTCAGAATCTTGAAAATATTGAAAATTCATTACGATTTAGATCTTTACTTGAAGGTACTTAGAAGACACATGTTCTTCGCGTCCAAATTTTCTTCATATCTTACCAAATAAATCTGATTTTGACTATATACATATGATTTACGGGTCCTTTAATATACCTGTTTTGATTATTGATGGAAATAAGGACAATTTTCAAATACTTAGCCAAACCAATGTTTTCAGTTTATAACCGGTGTAATATATGCCAAGACTCTGATAGCAACCGTAACTTTAAAAAAATCGTGTTTTGTCCAAAAATCTATTTTAAAGTACGCGTTTTGAATATTTTGAATCATTTCTAAATTTATTTTAGATCCATGCATCTTCACATACCAAAATAAACACAATCTGAATAATAGATGATTGAAAAAGGCATGAAAACTGGGAATATGTTGACTTGAGATTTGTTACAGGCTGTGGAAATTTTACTATTAAATTCTAAATTATTAGAAGACATTATTCTGCAAAATACACATGGCAACAATATAGAAATGCCTTACTTGTTCGGTGCGCCTGGACTTTTCAGAAACTTGATTGATTTGGTGTCACGATTTATCAGTTTAACAACTTGTTCTAAGAGTCTCCAACATATTTATTTCTGTTAGCAGACGTACAATTTTCAGATAGAAACCTTGAACGCTATTTT